GATGTGGCTGACATACGAGAATACTATTAAAACCAGAAGCAGCAGTCCGTCCGAATAAGATAATACGAACCATCTGCGGACATCGCTTCTGTTTGCTTTGTTCTCACCCATTGATGTGCGGCGTATTCGGAGAATCGAAGGGCCTGGTTTTTCTGAGGTGGTCGTTACACATCTTACTCGTTATCACTTCAGCGATTTTACACAATGCCTAATGTGATTTCAAACTTGCTAATCATTGCGTACGCCGAAAAAAAAATGGTTCTTTTTCAAATTTTAAAACTTCCCTTTGTAAAGATCGATAATTGGCTCTGGTTTCATTTTGCCTGCTGCCTTTTATGCCTGTTGAAAGACTTGCGCATTGAATCAATATTTGCAGCAGCACCAATTTTGCAATCAACATTTTAAGTTGAAAATAAATAAAACAATAGCTCGCTCTTTTTTGTCTGCATGTTTATTTTATTTTCACTATAAACTCAACGACATATCTGATAATCCAAACAAGTGTCGCTCGCCATATGTCTATTAACCTTGCACAGATAGCAATCATTGCAAATTTTTGGTAGATTAGATTTTAGATTTGCAGAAAAATATTAAAGCAATTGTGTGAGATTGTAAGATTAGATTTGGTTATCGTCAAAAGAGATGGCCTCTAATGTTCGCCGTCTTGTCCCCCCTTGCTGATTATATTCGTTTAGTTCAGTCCCCTTTCTTTCTTTTTCAAATGTTTTTTTTTTGGTACCAGCAAAATTTCCGTCTTTTTCGCTCTTTCCAACGTATAATTTTCCAACGCATTTTATTTTTCTTATTCAATTTTATTCGATATAATAAATCGAATAACCTTGCGCTGTCCGTCCGTCCGTCTGTCGTAAATCTATACTTGTCGAAAGTGGAAAATTGGAATTGTCTTGAAATTGATGTGATGGGAAAATAATAGGGAAACAGAGGGTGCATTGAAGGACAGAAGTCATTTCAGTTGATTATTCCGGTTCTTCTATTAGTTAAGTATTTATTTAATGGTACTAGGCAGATTTTAAAAAAAATGAACCCGAGGAACCTACGAAACCCATTAAAACCTCAAAAAATCATATGCAAATTGAAGGAAAAAGGCATTTTTAACCTGATTTATGAGTTTTTAAAAAAATATCTGCAGTACAAGAATTCATAATGTTCAAGAATAAAAAAATTATAAATTGTGATTACTGTAGATATTGGGTCGCAAACACTGCACGAGATAATGCACACATTATTACGTGCGGCCCGTTTTTTTTCCAAATTCTTTCTAACATTTCCTTCGGAAATGAGTCAATTTTCCAGCCCGTTGGTGCCGCAGCACTCAAAAATCGCAAGATCTGCGCAGCCGGCTGCGCTCTGTCTCCAACAGCAGCAATTTGTTCTCTGTTGTCGTTGGCGCTCTCGAAATCGCAATGTCTATCACGCACCTCTTCAGCACGACAGTTCTTTGACTATCTTCCGAAATCGATGGTATATCGCTGCGCTGTGTGCCTGTATGTGTGTGTGTCTGTCTGTATGTGTGCGTCCCGCCACGATGACTAATTTTTGGCATTTTTCTGCATTTGTCTGTCGCGGGCCTTATGTACATTGTCGGCGCAGGTCTCTTATATTCATTTCTATATATGTGTTCGAGACAGTTTTTTTTTCGTCTACGCGCTTTATTGACAAAAAATGTTTGCGAATTCAATTATTTTTCTATATATCGTCATCAATTCATATCTTATTCACCAATAATCCAATTTATATACAATTCAGCTGATCGCTGCCCCATCCTTCATGCCCGCTAAAACGCATTATTATTATTCATTGTATCCATCTACGCTGTCTAAAAAGCTTCACCATTTAATACATACAATTTCATGAATAGCTTCATAAGCCAAACCATGCATAATCGCATTCTCATTTCGCATCCGTCGTCCGTTTCCTACGCATAAATTGTGTCCGGCTGCTGAATAATAATAATAATAGTAATCATCAAACACAGAAAATTCTGTACGCGTACGTATTGCGAAAGGACACCTTCGACAATACTTATAATATTGATCGTCACATAATTTGCAGTTTTATTATGGCGGTGTGTGTCGTTGGTTGGGAAGCGAGGTGCCAATTTGGTTGGAAAACGGGCCGGGGGTCTGCGGTGACCCGGCGGTCGAAGAGAAATTTCGTGCGCGGCACTTCGCCTTCCATCCCAAAAACGCACCCAGCCATTCATTTCAAGCCATCCGCTTTCGCCCTCTCCTTTTTGTGTCTGGTTCAACGGAGCCATTCGGACCCTTTTTCTCACGCGCGCGCACACATATACACATACACACTAACGCGAAACCGCCCCGCGCGCGCGTAGTCATTTCGAATCGAATCCCCTTCAACTCGTATGTCGTTCGCTTTTTTTTGTTTAGGCAGCTTTTCATTAGTTTTGACATTTACTGTACGGCTAGAATTGTGTAAAATCTAGCCCCACCAAATTGGGACCGTCTAAAATTCAAATAATGCGCATTTTTTAAAAATAAATTACCGATCTGTGTATGGTTTTCAACCCCAACACAATTTTAATACTTAATTGCTTTTATTTATTCCAATAGAAAACGACAAAGAATGTTTGAGAGCAGAAATTAGCACTTTCACTAATGATTGTTTGGCTTTCTTCTTTCCATACCCTCTTTTCTCTCACTCCTAGGGCCCGCTAATTATGTAAATAACTTATCTTCTTTCACCATCCCATTCATTTTGCATGCAGTACATCATAGTGGTTCGCTAATTGAATACACAATATGTTTATCAGCTGCTGATAATTGATATTGTGCGGGTGACATGACCCATGTGAAAATATCCTTCGCGTTTTTTTCTTTCCCATTTCATTTCATCATCTAATTGGCCGTCTGGCGAAGGCGGAGACGAAAGAGGCTCCATCATTCGCCAGATCACGCTCATTATACGTTTGATTGTGCGTCGCGTCTAATTGTATTCAATCCCGGCCATCCGGTGCCGGCCCAGCCTGCCCTTGCACCGCCCAAAACATTTTCTCCCTTTTCATCTTGTTCGCTGGTGCCTGAAATAATAGGTCAAATAGGAGTTCTCTCCTACTCAAACGTGCTTGTCTCGTTTCCTTGTATTCACCATTATCTTCATCATCAGCTCTAATGCATTTTCTAGTTCGCCCTTCACCTGACGTGTGCAATTTCCACCTATCATTCATTCGTTTGTCGGGTTTGCAATTGTTTTGAAGTTTTTCAAACACTCCAACACATAGTTTTACTGAGGGGGTTTTACAATATAGAATATAAGTACACGCTCTTGTTCACGTCCTCGGACTGATTAGTGGTAATCCCTCTTGTTGCGGCGTGTCCTGCCCGAGTTGGCTATTCGAATTGAATTATTATTAATCAAAGGTTGTTGAATTTGTATTGAAGATGAGCACAAATTAATTCGCCGCTCGCTTTCCCTTGGGAGCTCACCAATAACCAATTTTGATTCGTGTAATAAAATTTTAAGGATGATGCTTTTGCGCAATAAAGTTGCCCCGCCCCGTCCTCAGGGCGACTTTTTGGCTCCGCAGCGTTTTTAGTCGCAGCTAGCTATCCGGGCGTAGACGACGACAAAATGCAGTTAATTGCGAATAGAAAGAGCGCCGCAATTTTCGGCCCCCGGGGCGGGGTGTGGACATGCCCACTAGGCACAATTGATGTTCCATTATTCACAAGCCTTACTTTAGTTTTCTATTCACAACCGAAACCAACGATTATTCGCTTCCAAGCAACTATCGAACGAATTCTTATCATTTCTGCACCCGCACCGTTTCATTGCTCATCCTCCTACTCGTTTCATCTTCATTTCTTTGATTCTTTCGTTTTTTTGTGCAATGACTGACGCTGCACTGCTGTTGATGTGTTGTGTTGTGTTACAACACGCTGTTCGGAAAACTTCTGGCGTTCTTAAATTGCATTACTGCGATCGCATTTGGATGATGATGAGGATCTGAAGAGCCTTACAACCGACCCGCATCCGCGTTCCGTCAAGGCGGACGCCTGCCAATTTTTTTGTAATATAGGGTGTTGCCCGGGCGGCGGCGTCGTCATCCGTCGAGCTCTTGTAAGATGAGCACTTTGATTTATTTATTCTGCCTTCCATATTCGACACTCGTATATACATATATACAAAAGATGTTTATTTCGACGAATGTCATGTGTTTAATCAAACTTGTTCATCGCTTTGGGACTCAGCGGCGGCGGTCGTCTAATCTGTATGCTCCACTTGAGATGAAGACGGGATGCGTCTGACGCATTTTGAATAAATTTCGGCCTAGGCGTAGTTTTATCGAGCGGGGGCCCTTGGAACGACCCGCGCGACGAAATGCCCCGCGCAAAAAAATATATACATATTGCAATCGCGCCGGTTTAGTTTGTATAGCAATGAATTTCGCAATTCGCTGTAAACGTGTGAAAATTGCCGGCTGTCGTTCTAAAATCGATACAGGCCAGGGTCGCCAACGTCGCTCGACTGGCTGACTGATTGATGGTGTGTTAAATGAACACCACTCACGGCGAATTCGCTCCCATATCAAAATAGCGCAGAATTTTTAATTCGTGATGTCATTTGATGTCGGTAGTTTCACGTTATTTTTTGAGAATTCCGAAATTGGAGCGAACATTAAAAAAAAACTACCGCATCTTGAGATGTAGTTGCGTGTCAAATTCGCTGCCACGTCTGTAATGAGGCGTCGATTGCAGCGCATGTGTTTACACAATTGCTCACAAGATTGCGAATTTTTCGAGAATCGTTGATGCCTTGGTCCACTTCTCATTTATTTTCTATTCAATTCGTTTTTGTTCGAATTTATTCGTCGCATGTTCTTATTTCGTTTTAGTAAATTTGACGATTTCAGGGTTTCTTCTTCATTTAACCACCAAAAAACCGGTTGCTACATAGTCGATTAAAGTTACGGATACGTTTTTGTTTGATTTTTCTCTTCTCGAGTTTTTGAAAACGACACCATGGCGGCGACTGCTGGACCAAGTACTTCCAGCTTGTCGGCGGTAAGAGTCGATTAAATTAAATTGCACTAATTATCAATTCATTTTATAGACGCAGCTCAGTGATATAATTGAATGCCCAATCTGCTACACGGTATACAACAAGCCGCTTCAGATGAGTTGTGGACATACACTTTGTGCAAACTGTATTGAAAAATTGGTGAGCATTTTAAAACATAAAATTAGGTTATGCACTATGCTCACATAGTTTATTTATGCGGTCTAGGTACTTTACATATTGACGACGAAATTGAGTAGGTTGTTAAATATTTATAAGCAATCGGACGAATGTTGTTGGGAAACAACACTTAAAAAATATCGGATATTTTTTAGGTGGAAGTTGCAAGACTTCAACCTGCCGGCGCCGCAGCTGATCGAGCTGCATTAGCTGCTGCCGCCGCTGCAGTGGGCGGAATGATTAACGGGAATCAAGGAAATCAGCAGCGCAACATGGGAGGACTCGTTCCGATGGATGTGGTGATGGACTTTGAGCATATGCTCGGCCAAGCTGGAGGTCCGATTCGCGGAATGATGCCGTTTCCAGCGCGCGGTGCTGCTGGACAAATGCTGTTCGGTTTCCGTCGAAACCGTCAGCAAGCCGCTGCCAATCAAAATGGTGGTGAGTGATGACGCATAGATTGGTAAAATCTACGAATTCTTATTGCAGGCATTGAGATTAAATGTCCAGAGTGCCGCAAACCAACAATTGTTCCACCAGATGGCCTTCCTGTCAACTATCGCGTTCAAGATATTGTTGCTAAAATGGCCAACAGTGCAAATGCCAAAAATGAGCCACAGTTGAAACCTCGCTGCAAAACGTGTGACGAAGTGCTTTCGCAAGGAGTCTATTTTGACTGCAACGAGTGCGGCGAGAATGGAGTAAAAGCTTTTAATCTCTTGATCCTCATTGAATTATTTCGGCTTTCAGGCGAAGTTATGCTCGACGTGTGCGATAAGATCGCATAATGGCCACGCGATAGTGGAACGACGTGCGATAACAGATAGCGATATTAAGGTAAATTGCGGGCCGATCCTTATTAATTCTCTTTGAATCGACATCCCATTAATTACATTATCGATTGCAGGCGATGAAAGATAAGATTAATGTTCATGCTGGATTGGCTTTCCAGGCTCTCGATGAGCTCCAACCGAAAGTCACCAATTGTACTAACATTATAAATGAGAAAATAGTGAAGGTTGTTCATATGCAGGTTTTTAGCAATTCGAAAAATGTCTTACAGGTTTTGCAAGATGCTCTTGGCTTTTTTGAGAAAATGTCATCGTCTATTGACCAGAATATAGACCCATCGTCGACGATTGATGAACTCACTTCAGAGATTAACAAAGCCGCAAGAATGGCGGAGATTTATCGCGAAGCTGTGAATCACGCTGATGAGTTGATTGTCAAGCGTATAACAGAAGCTGTTACAGAATTCATTACCCCAATTAAGGTAGTCGAGGAGATTCGAGAGTGAATAAAGTTTTGTGTTTTCAGAGCTTATTTTTGGAACTTGGTGTGCCACCACAACCTGAGACGGCCGAAGGTCAACAAAATGACGCACGAATTGCTGAAAACGCGCAACAGGCACCTGCCGAGCGCGTTGAAGGCCAACAGGAGGGATTTGTGCCGGAGGCACCGCAAGACGTTGAAAATGCACCTCAAAACGATCAACAACCCGCGCAGCCAATGGATGTTGAAGAAGCGCCGAATGAGCCACCAGAGGCGGTTAATAATGTCCGACCACCTCAAGCAGTTGTGAATGAAGGTTGGTTCATTCTAGAAAAGCGACTTCATTCATTTTCATTAAAAAATTTCAGAAAATCTTGCAAGGTTGCCTAACAATGATGTAATTAACTACATGCTGATGCGCGAACGTCACCGCGATAGACTGCGCAATCAAAATCAGAACCAGAATCAGCCCGCTGCTGCTAGACAGCCGGTTGCTGTACAGCAACAGGCGCCGATGGCTCAGCAACCGTTGGTTCCGCAGCCAGCGGCTCCACAGCAGCAAGCTGGAATGTATAATGTGCAGTTTATGCATATGCAGCAAATGGCAATGCATCAGCAACAGCAGCAGCAACATATTCAGCCTCATCAGATGGCTCAACCGCAACATCAAGTTCCAATGCAGCAACAGCAAATGCAACATCAGATGCCTCAACCACCGCAAAATGTGCCAGTGGCACCCCAGCCACAGCAGCAGCCGCAGCAGCAGCAGCAACAACAACAAGCTCCAGTGCAACCACAGCAGCAACAGCAGGCGCAACAGCAAGCGGCAGTGCAACAACAAGGACCACCACCACCACAACCGTTGCAAAACGCCAACAATAATCAGAATGCCCCGAACGGACACTATCCGAGAGCGTTCCGCCATATTCCACTTCCTCATATGCATATGAATCAGAATTACAACAACCAGGGACCAGCGCAGCAACGTCAATTGCAACAACAGATGCAACAGCAAATGCCACCAGGACAAGGTATTTCGAACTAATATGGTTTGATATTGCATTAATTTATTTAATTGTAGGTTTTATTCTCGGAATACCTAATGCGATGATGGGAATGGGCGGCGATCGGGTTGATCGTGGACGAAATGGTGTACAGGCCAACTATCGGGATATGATAAACCTCAACTACATGCCGAATCAGCAAGGCGAAATTGTGTTTGAGATGCGAATGCGACCGTTCCCGCAGAACGCCAATCATGGAATTCCGCCGCAACCAATGCTTCCGCCGATTCATGGTCCGATTCCACATGGTTACGCACCGATGATGGCACCACCAAATCGTCGTGCCCTTCCGCCCGGCAATGATGCCAATCGTCGACGGCGTGATGATAATCCACCGAATAATATTAATCCTATGGATGACCATAATGCCCCACAACCGCCACCGGAACCACGTCGAGAGCATATCGAGATGATTCAAGCGAATATTCAACAAGAGTTGCAAAATTTTGACGAGCGCCTTCGAATGCTTCATGAGCAAGGACTTGCACAAGAAGCAGCCGCTGCTGCCGCCGCCGCCGCTGCCGCCGCAGCGGCTAGACCTGTTCCAGATTTCCCAGTGAATCCTGCTAATATTGATGCTGTTGTTCATGTCGACGTTGTCGAGCAACAACAGCAGCAACCGGAACAGCAGCCACAACCGGAGGTACAGCAGCCAGAACAATTGCAGCCTCCGCACGAGTTGGATCCTGTGGAGGAGATGGAGGTCCCAGAGCAGGAGCAACAACAACTACCCCAGCAAGAAGGGCACCCACCACCTGATCAACAGCCCGATGATATCCAAGAACCAGTTGAAGATCAAGTTGAAGAGCAACCGCCAGTTGAAAGTAACGACGATGTTGCTGATGAATCACAAGAAGCAGAAGAGGCCGAGCAATCGAATTCGCGTCGTCAGCGTCGTATGAGAATTGCCGCTGCCAATGAGGTCGATGATAGTGCCTCGTCACCGCGTCGTGGCAAGCGTGTCGATCCTGTTGAGCGCACTAAGAGACTCATGGAGACAATTAGCATAACTCCGGGAAGACGTGGAGCTACAACAACTGTTCAAAGTAGTTTGATCAATTTTAGAATTGATTTTATTTATTTATATTTAGATGAAGGACCATCGGGATCTCAAGCAAGAAACGAGGGCCCAGCGGTGAAGAAGGTCAAGAAGGAAGTTGACTCGTCAGTGGAAGAAGAATGGAGCGACGAATCGGTTCCATCGCCCCCGATGAAGAGATTGAGGTAGGAGATGAATTAACGATTGTCATAGCTTAATTAATAATCGATTTATTCAGACGCCGCAAGCAGTTGAATACGCGTGCTTCTTCGAATGCAATTGAGAGTGAGAGTTCTGAAGGAATTTCGCCAACGGCCGAATCACTGGATGTGCGAACTAGACGAGGCCGTCCAACTCGCAACGCTGCAGCGGGAAACAATGATGTCATTCCATAAATTTTATACGCTTAATCAATCACATCGTATACAGATATCCTAAATCATATTCTATGCGTTTGGTACCTTTCTTTCGTTGCTCTTTGCAATGTTTCCGTAGAAATCGTGATAGTGATTGGCTTCGTTACTGACAGGTTTTTTTTCTTCCGTACTGCTTCTGAATGCTTCATAAATGATGACAGAGCAGTAGTTAATACGCTTATTTTCTTTCCTTCGAATCCGCACCACTGAATTACGGTTTAGATTTTAGATCCTCCTCAAATGATTTTTGAAATTCTTGTTCTACCCCTTTTTTTATAACAATATTTGTCGATTATTTCTCGGTTTTTTATGTCTTCCTCTTCGTCCTCATCTTCCTCATCCTCATGCTCGTTTTCTCGTGTGGACGTTGCGTATTTTAACATTCAATTGATATCTTCTTGCTTCTTTTTTGCCACTTTACACTCATATTTTTGCTGTAATAATATTTCCGTTCAAGTCTTGTATTACGATATTTCAATGCATATTTTTCGGTGAGAAATAAAACATAATTAATAAAGGGGTAGTATATTCATGTGTTTTTCTCTGTTCTATGATGACGCGATACAATCTGTGAACGGGTTGAAAGAGCTCATAAAATTGGTTTATGGTTTTATTGGATCGTATAACAGAAAGGTTTTGAGCAGCGTTTGATGATTTCGCATAAAACTAAATGGTTCTATAAATGGAATTAGACGAGTTTTTACGGTATCAAGGTTGAAACGAACAAAAGCGCATTCGATGGAAAGGGATTTGATGCTTTGCAGAAATTGTGCCTTCACATACAGTACCGTGCAGTAAGATATACAATTTCACTTTTTTTATCATAACTTTCTGAAAAGTTGACCAATCGATCTGAAATTTTTGGACAACTTTAAGCATCGATAGAGTGATTATGTAACAAAATTAGAAGGTGTAAACAATTATCTGTCTGGAAACTTAAAACAACTCAATATCTTGTTGACATGTCATTTGCATTGATCACAGTTTGATATCGGAGACCCATGGCCTCGTCAACTTCGGGATTATTGAAACTGGTATATCCATCCATGCTCTCCTCAGCTGCTCGAACATTTCGGCACAATTTTGTACTGTTTGACCTCGAAGACGTCTACCAAGACCTTCCCACAAATGTTCAATAGGATTCAAGTCAGGTGAGTATCTTGGCCAGTCCACGGCGGTCACCCGACGCTGCTAGAACCACTCTTTGATGTAGCGAGAGAAAAGTTTAGGATCATTATTCTGGTGAAATAAGTATCCACACCGAGCAAAGACTTTGCAAACGGAAGCATATGGTTCTCGAGAAAGTCCTTATACATTAATCGATCCATATTTCCTTCGATTCGATGAAGTAGGCCAGCTCCAGAAGCAGTAAAACATCCCCAAACTATCACGCTTCCTCTTCCATGTTTCACTGTTGGTAATTGATGCTTTGGATCGAATCTTTTGTCGTCCGAACGCCTCACAAAGGTAATACCATCCGTTCCGAGCAAGATATACTTCGATTCATCACTCCATACGACCTTTGACTATTGTCGAAACCTCCAATTCAAAAGCTCCTTATCCCACTTCAAACAGGCGCGGCGTTTCTTCTCCGAAAGGAGAGATTTTTTGACAGACCGACGTCCAATTAATCCAGAACCACGTAGACAACGCTTGACAGTACTAACAATGATATGTATGTGGCTTTTGGTGAAAAAAAGTCATGGTTTTTCGGAAAAATCTACATTGACATCATAGAACTGATTCAGTTGCCGATTAATCTCGGAAGCGGATAGACGCGGGTTGCTCTTGCTGTTTCTTACAATTGTTCGATTGATTGCCGGGGATGTTTTGGAAGGATTTCCAAGTGGTTTGGAATCCGATCGAGGTTTCAAACATACACGAAGGGTCCAAGTCGATGAGTTCAACTGGTGTGATAGACATTGGATGAAAAGACCTTGTGCTCGGTCATTCTTGATTGCTTTAAAACGTCTGATAGAATGTTTTTTGATCATTTTGATCGTCTCCTGCTAAAACAAATAAAAAAAACTGATGTTAACATTGAAAATCTAAAAAAAAATCGAAAAAACTTAAAAATTTAAAAAATCGCATTTTTGAAAATACACAAAAAAGGTCCAAAACACAAATATTGCGTCTATAGTACTCGAAAATGAATAAATTATGTTTGGGAACACACTATCCGTTTTGTAAAAAAAATTTCAGATTGATTGATTGGTCAACTTTTCAGAAAGTTATGATAAAAAAAAGTGAAATTGTATATCTTACTGCACGGTACTGTATGCGCCTTTAATCGATCGGCTTCCACGTGAAAACATTTTAAGACACTTCTGGTGACTCAAAACCAAGATGTTACTAATAGGACAAATTTTAAAATCTTATTTGCAGACTTGGTTGATTGCGGAGCTGAATTCGATTTGCCTCGAGTTACCAGAGACTGAATGAAATGCAGTACAACAGAAGAATGAGAAGCATTTCTTCAGGTCGAAAAGCGGAATCAGAAAAAAGAATTCAGCTATTGCGATATCTGGCAGTCGATTATGGATGCTGAGGATTCCCACTTCTCGATGATCATGTATCCCATCTGCTACAGTGAAGAATGATTTCTATTTTCTTCCAGATCCTTGGATCGATTTTTAGGTGGTCCCAAACAACAGAGTGGAACGTCCTCGCAATGACGAATGAGAGAGATAACGTGAAGTCCTGGCTGATGCTCAGACCGTCTAGTTTTCAGGTGCAAGGTTATGACTCTTACAGCGGATTTTCACTTGGAGTGAACGTGGAATTTTTCGACTCTGGTTTTATGAAATCGGAAAATGGACCAATTTATTAGTACTGACAGATGAAACAGGGTGATTCAGGTGGAAAAATCATCTGGTAAAGTGAAATTTTTAAACCGATTAACATATAGCAATCGGATTGTCTGAAAAAAAAAGAAAAGAAGAAAAATCGGCTGCTCCTGAGTTTTGGTATGGTCAGAGTGTTTTATACGAAAATTTGGATACTGTAGCTTAGGACACATCGGGTCATGGTGCGGATCACACCAAATTAATTAGTATTTTTAAATTAAATGCCTTCTAGATTTTATCATACACCTTCTCCAACAAATATTTGCAAATCTTGTGGAAACAAGCAAACGCAATGTCCACAAATTTCACTTGTATTTGTTTTGAATAATCGGATAAGCCTGCGTCTCTGCGCGATAATTGATACAAATCGCCTCGGTCAGTTTTTTTGTGCTTGAGAGCTTCTTCCCTTCAAGCATTCGGCAAACTCGTTTCTCGTTTTTTTCAGGGTCCATCCATGCTAATTGTGCTATTCCTCGGATTTTTCCCAATATTCGGCACCCCTCAATCGGACAAAATCGATTGGTGCTTATACTTTCAAAGTCTCAAAATTTATAAGCCAGAATGTAAATTCTACGATGCGAAATTTCACAGTAACGCAATTTCTAATGTATAATCGTGAATGTGAATTTTTTTTGATTTTCAGCAAAATCCGTAAAAGCTTTTCCGGTAGCTCCGAATGAGATCCAACAATGCTCACCGCATTACATTTATTGTACCACAAATTCGCAGTGTGCAGATGGATACCGGGTTAGCAATTGATGCTCAAAATGTTGGTGCTGCTCCAAATCGGCCCCTACCTTCTGTGGTAACCCTCGGGTCATATGTGTCCGATCGACAATATCTGTAATGGTGCCGTTATTTGATGGGTCTTGAGATATGTAGCACATTTGTTTTAAAACGATTTCAGCCCAATAAAACCCCCATTAAAAGCGTCACATCACTTCCACTCTGTAATCTCTTTGAAGACCCCCCCCCCCGTTTATAGAGCACACATCTAGTTTAACGAGACATCGGCAAAAGTCTTTCTGTGTGTACGATCCAATAAACCCATAAATCATTTTCGACGAGCTCTTTTGAACTTGGTCGCGCTGAAAACAAAAGCTCGAACATGTGTGCCAGATGCGCGAAGAGCGAGAGAGTTGGCGACGCAGAGAAATTGAGGCGTTGCGAAAGGTCAAATTTGAAATCACCATCGAATTTGCGAGAAAACTGTGATACAGACAGACGCATGCACAAAACATCAAAGGTCCCGCTGTAAATTGGTCTTACCCAGATGTTATTTGCTCGAAAAACAACCTGTTTGTTTTACGAGACCATTATCGCTCAAAACCAATAAAACAACAAATTTCGTACCGTACCATGCGCGGCTGGCTCCAATGCTCTTTTAAGAGTCCCATTTAATTTTATGTGAAACCATATAACACTTGGGTCAAACCATTTGGGTCAAACTATCACATAAAAAATGAACTCATTTTTTGAGATGAAATGAAAACTAGAAAAGTCGGAGAGAAATTCGAATTTGAAAAAAATTTTTTTATTAAGCTGATTTTCATAGCAGCCTTCGAGTTCGAACTACATATTTTCATCATCCTCGGATTTACGAACTCTTTTGTTCTAGACAAAAGTGCAAGAATGTGAAATTGAATGGTCCAATTTCAGAGGTGCATCGATATGCTGAAATACCGCGAATGTTGCGCGCCGATTCAGCGAGAATGCCCTGCGATCAGCTATTTGCGCGTTCGGTGAGTTGAATGATCGGTCAAATTTCGATAAAAATTGTTTATATGGATTATCTGGAAAAAAGCGGCTGAAAAAAAAATTCGAAATTTATAAACATTGATTTGAAAAATTATTTGTTTAGAAATTCGCGTGCGCTCTTTGATATTTCAAATTGACTTCCAGATGCTTGATATCAAATCCGGTGAACTGGTGCGACGCTGACGGCGACTGCCGTTCGGCCCCTCTTCGGAAATGCTGCCCAACCGGCTGCAACTACAACATTTGCTTGTAACACCTGCAGACCACATAAAACTAATGTATTTTTTTTTTTGTTTTGAAAATTGTTCATCAATTCGACATCTGTTGCGAGTTGTGCCAGCACCTGGAGAATCTCGCGTACGCACACGTGTTGCGCAGATGTAAAAATGGTTTATTTTTGGCTAGCCGAAACAAAAAACTTGACCCCTTGGTTGTCGTCGTGGACGCCCCGAATGTTACTTTGTTGTTATGTGGCACACATCTGGCAAGTTGCCAAACCCAAATGTTTTATTGGGGGCTCGTTTGGAGCATCTCTTCTGCTCGCCGTTGCCGTCGTCGCCGCTCCGGTTTACGACATTCAGCGGCGATGAGGTCAAATCAACAGTTGTGCGCAGACGAGCCGAAATTGAGGATGTTTATTTTTGAAAGGCGAACGAGTTCGTCAAAAAGTGCAAAAATTGAAACAATTTGTTGTAAACAAGAATGCAAAAATGTAAACATTTCGCGATGTTGTAAATTGTCCGCAGGATGGATTCATCAATTAAGCAGAATGGAGCATTTGATTGATTTTGCTTTGGTCCTCTTCGATTCATCAATCATTGATTGTTTTTTTGAAAAGTGCAACACCGTGCGATGTCTCGAATTTAATGACCTCATTTATGTGCCAAACAGCCGCTTTCTCGATTTTGTTTTTATTTCCAAGGCGGCATTTTGATGGATTCGTCGTCGACGTCGATGGGAATTCGACGATTCGTGTCGAATAAGCGAAATGCGACACTTTTGACCCTCTGCCGAATTGTTTATAAATTTGTTGGCGATTCTGAAATGAGCGTCGAACCTCTCGATTACATTCATAAATAAACCGAACGCTGCACTTTTTTGTTGATAAATCAGAATGCCTCGGGAGGTCATTCATCATTCGGAACGATTCGAGCTTTCAAGTTGTTTTTTTTTGTGTGGCAACGAGTGCCTGTCGTGTGTGTGTGTGTGTGGGTTGATGATGGTACAAAAAAGTGTTACACTTGTCCAAACACATGCCCGAGCAGCGCTGCCGCAAAAAAATGATTAGGTTTTGATATAAACTATGCGGCTGCTCGCCGAGCAACGCTTAGTAACAACCGACGAACGTCTGATAAGAAAAAGAGCGAAAGTTCAGGGGAGGAGACAAGTTGGAAAAATCTTGAACCGCTGGAACCTTCTATTTTCAGCAACCTTCCAGACTGAAAACATTTTGTCGAAAAATGGAAAACATATTTTTTTAAGATTGGGTTTTTGATTCCGATTTCTTGTTCTTTAGAAGTCCTGAATAATATCGAAAGGAATATTTCAGGCAAGAAATATTTTTTTGTGATTCTTATGCTATCTCATTAATAAATCTTAAGTATAGAAAAAACTTTTTTTTTTTCGCAAAGACCAACTGCGTGCTATTTTACGGGGTGGTCCATAATTATGGAAACTAACTCAAAGTGATAAAATTTTTGTAAAAATGATCGAATCAACTTGAAAATTCACAAATAGTTTATTGAATCAATTATAAACAAAAATACATCAAAATTACTCGATTCGATATCCTTTGGTCTTTATTACCTCGTTGAGTCTCTTCAGGAATGCTTCGACTGGGGCACGGAGGTATTCTGGAAATAATCTTGCCAATTCTTCAACCAAACTTTCCTTCAATGACTCTAAATTGGTATAGGGATTAGCCTGGACCTTCGACCGAAGTTCTTCCCAAGCAGAATAGTTGAATGTAATTACTGTACCCTCAAAATAATTTCGAAATTAGAAAAACCATCAAATTTTCTTCTAAAAAAAAGACCAATAATGTCTGGAGTTTTTTGTTCAATTTTCCTTTTAAAAAAAATTTTAAAAAATTGAAAATTGTGAGTAAACGCAACTCAATCAACTTAATCAAAGAATTGAAAATGAGCTTGAGTCCTGAAGCAGTTACTGTTTTTTTCAGAAACAAACTATTATATACATTTAAAATTTGAAAAAAATCATTTTTCCCCATTTTTTTCTAGTTTTTTATTCTAGCTGAGCTCTCTTCTCGATCCTCTGATCTTGTGAATTATTGTCTTTCGAAGATCTTTAGAATCAAATCAATCGTAAATTATAACCTTCGCAATTCAGAATCCACAAATCTCAAGCAGATCAAAACAACAGCCTCGTCGTTGGGGCCGACGAATTCCTCAGGTGTTTGTAATTATATATGTGTCGCCACTATCATTCCGGCGACATTCGACACCATTGCATTGTCGTCCCAACATTGCATTCATTGTTCGATTCCGTCGAGCTCTTCGTCGTTTTCACCGCATTGGCGCGGCGGTCCCAACAAAAACGAGTACGTCTCCAATATCATTTTGTCACACGAATCGTGTTAACAACTCTCGGCAGGATATTGAAGATAGAGCGATCGACTCGCCCGATTCGATCCATCTTGCAAGTTGCGTTTTGTGATGACCCCGCGACATCGAAACATAAATCTTCTTTTGCCAAGAGAAGCTGCTCGAGGCTTATATCTGTCTTCTATTTGTATGTGTGTGTGTGTGTGTGTGCACGGATCCTGGCACCCTCCGAAACGATGAGTCAGACAAGGCGTGGTCCCGGGCGTCCCATCGCCGCGAAGCCACGCCCATCAAGTGCACGCCCCCTTTTTCGAAATTCAGACCGTCGCCTCCACATTTAGACAACAAGCTGTTGCTCGCGCTCGCAAAGTTCTTTTCGGTTTTCTGATTTGCAGTATCGTGCTCACCCATGATAATAATAGTATTACTAATAATACACAAACATTGATATCAGTTTGACCTCATGATGTCTCTTTAAAGTGAGCCAATGGTTTTTTTTCGTGCGCTCTCTGCCGTGTAATGTGTTACACCAGAATATCCCCCCCCGCCACCACACTGACCCGTACGCCAAATGACCTTTAAACTTTCATTCTCATTCCACCCATCACCTCGAAACTACAACAACTCGACGGCGGCACGCAGCTCAATGAGCCCCAATTTTGCTACCGTAATCCGCCACTTTAGCGCAATTGGGACCAATTTTGCTCGTCACATTATTCGAGCCAATTTTTTTTTGGTGAAAAAAAATTTGACGAAACGTGTTGGTTTTCGAGAATTTGAGCCAATTTGTGTTGATTTTTTTGTCGTCACGCACTTTTTTTTTTCGTCGCGCCCCGCCTCTTCCATCTGCTCTCAATAACAACACGCAGTACTTTACTAATAATCGTTCAGCCTCGCGTCTTCTACTAACCACCATCGAATCGAGTGGAATTCCAGACGTCGTCAATCATGAGGTTGCTGCTTCTATCGGCAGCCCTTCTGGCCGTCCCAACGTGGGCCTTCTCGATCTCTTCGTTATTCGGAAATGATGAGCCATTGGTGAGTTCGAGTTCGATGATTCCAACTGTGCTTGCTTGATTTCAGAAGCCGTACCTTCATCCGCTCTCGCCACCTGAGCGTGATCCGATGAGCACTCGCTCGAAACGACAGGCATATCAGGTTTACGTTGATGGAGATGTATCGGTAACGGTGGACAAATCGGGACAGAAAGAGACCGGCAATTGGGGACCATGGGTTCCGGAACAGCAGTGTTCGCGAACGTGCGGCGGCGGTGTTCAAATCGAGAAGCGTCAGTGCAGCGGACAATGCACCGGAGCCTCGGTTCGCTACGTCTCGTGCAATCTGGACGAATGCCCTGGAAATCCGGATTTCCGCGCCGAGCAATGCGCCAAATACAACGATGAGCCGCTCGACGGAAACTATCACAAGTGGTCGCCGTACAAGGGTAAGAACAAGTGCGAGCTTGTCTGCAAACCCGAATCGACAAACTTCTACTACAAGTGGGCCGATAAGGTCATCGATGGAACAAGGTGAGGCATTGAGATCAGCTAGTTCAAGCCCCATTTTTTTTTCTCCAACGTTCAGATGCGACTCGAAGAGCAACGATATCTGCGTTGACGGCGAATGCCTTCCGGTTGGCTGCGACGGCAAACTCGGATCGTCGTTGAAGTTCGACAAATGCGGAAAATGCGACGGTGACGGCTCGAGCTGCAAGACGATTGAAGGGATCTTCGACGAGCGGAATCTTTCGCCGGGATACCATGACATCATCAAACTTCCCGAAGGAGCCACCAACATCAAGATTCAGGAAGCACGCAAGAGCACAAATAACCTTGCCCTCAAGAACGCTTCCGATCACTTCTACCTTAACGGAAACGGATTGATCCAGGTTGAGAAAGAGGTCGAAGTCGGAGGAACCATTTTCGTCTACGATGACACTGAGCCAGAGACCCTTTCTGCGATGGGACCACTATCCGAAGATTTAACCGTTTCTCTCCTTTTCCGCAAGGGAAGCAGAGATACCGCCATCAAGTACGAGTTCTCGATTCCGCTCGATGAGGAAGTTGACTACATGTACAAGTTCGACGCGTGGACTCCGTGCTCGGTGACGTGCGGAAAGGGAGTTCAGACACGCAACCTCTATTGCGTCGACGGAAAGAGCAAAGCGCGCGTCGAGGACGAGCTGTGCGAGGAGAACAACGCGACGAAACCGGAATTCGAGAAGACGTGCGAGACGGTCGACTGCGCCGCCGAATGGTTCACCAGCGAATGGGAGTCGTGCTCAGCGACGTGCGGCGATCGCGGAGAGCAATATCGTGTCGTCTACTGCCATCAGGTTGGCCCATTAATTATCACTGTGTAATAGAGCGTGGTGCACTTAAGCGATTTTTTTTTCTGTTTCGTGCCAACGCCGATATCTGATCAAATAGCAATTCGAAAATGAAAAAAAAAGAATCGAAGAGAATAGCGGCCAATTATTTCAGGTCTTCGCCAACGGCCGTCGAGTTACTGTAGACGATGGAAACTGCACTTCGGAGAGACCAGACGTGAAGCAGAACTGCAACAGGTTGGTCCGAATTCGCATTGCATAAACATTATATGTTGATTTGTTTATGCGGATCTTTTTTTGACAAATTGTTGCACACATGGTGCACACGTGCTCCGATTGTAAACATTTGCAATATTGCAGATTCGCGTGCCCCGAATGGCAAGCCGGACCGTGGTCGGCGTGCTCGGAAAAATGCGGCGACGCTCATCAATACCGATCGGTGACGTGCCGCAGCGAGAAGGAAGGCGAGGAGGGCAAACTGTTGCCGGCCGACGCGTGTCCAGCGGAGAAGAAGGCCGAATTCGAGACGGAACGCACGTGCAACTTGGGACCATGCGAAGGACTCAAATTCTTCACCGGCGAATGGAATCTTTGCACCAAGTGCAACGATACTGAAGAGACACGAGAGGTCACATGCAAGGATACCCAAGGAAGAGCCTATCCATTGGAGAAGTGCTTGACCGACAACTCGACCGAAATTCCGTCGGATACTCGCTCCTGCGCCACCCAGCCACCATGCAACTACGAATGGACTGTTAGCGAATGGAGCAAATGCTCAACCGAATGCGGTCATGGACACAAGACCCGTCGAGTTATCTGTGCTATCCATCAGAATGGAGGACTCGATGTTGTCGACGAAGCTCATTGTCAGGCGGAGAAGCCGGAAACCAAAACGAATTGCACCAATGAAGAGAAGTGCACTGGAACATGGTACACCTCGTCGTGGTCGAAGTGCTCCGCTGAGTGTGATGGTGGATCACAGGAACGCGTTGCGGTTTGCCTGAACTACGACAAGAAGCCGGTTCCGGAATGGTGCGACGAGGCTGAGAAGCCGATTGAGAAACAGGACTGCAACACCGATCCATGCCCGACATGCTTCGATTCCGAGTTCGGATGCTGTCCGGACAACTCGACGTTCGCCAAGGGAGAATTCAACTTTGGATGCTCGAACTGCTCTGAGACTGAGTTTGGATGCTGCGCCGACAACTTCACCACCGCCACTGGACCGAATGCCAAGGGATGCGACGAGTTCGTCGAGTCGCCACTCAATTTGGCTGCCGCGGTTGCCGAAGACGACGTGGAGTCTTCTGGAGATTCGCCAAGAAACCTTCTCACTTCCGATGGCGACAACACAATGTGCAATCTGACTAGCGCCGACGGTGATGAGGCGAGCGTTGAGTGCTCAACAATGGCTAGCACCATCAGTTCGGAAAAATCGGAACTCCTCGGAAACGAGACGGCTGATGGAAACGCAACAATTCACTGCTCAAAGACTGAATTCGGATGCTGCCCTGATTGGTACACTCCGGCCTCAGGAAAGAACAATGAGGGATGTGATGAATACATTCTCGGAGCTTGTAACTCCACGAAGCACGGATGCTGCCCAGATGAGGTTACTCTCGCTCGTGGACCAAATCTTGAAGGATGCGGAGAGCCATCGTGCGCCGCCTCCCTCTACGGATGCTGCAAGGATAGAAAGACTATCGCCTTCGGACCACACTATTCGGGATGCGAGCGGTAAGATCATAAGAGATTATTATGACCTCTTTTAATTATAATTTTCAGCTCCTCCTTCCCATGCGAGCTGTCTGAATTTGGATGTTGTCCAGACGGTGAGACGGCCGCTCTCGGAAAGAATGGAACCGGTTGTGGTGAGAATTGCCTCATCAGCAAGTACGGATGTTGTCCCGACGGCAAGACGACCGCCAAGGGATCGCACAACGAGGGATGCGGTTGCGAGTACGCTCAATTCGGATGCTGCCCCGATGGAAAGTCGCCAGCCAAGGGCGCCGGATTCTACGGATGTCCGGAGAGCTGCGCTCAGAGTCAGTTCGGTTGCTGTCCAGATGGAAAGACCCGCGCTCGCGGCGAGAACAAGGAAGGATGTCCATGCCAGTACACTCGCTATGGATGCTGCCCAGATGGTGAGACGACCGCGTTGGGACCCAGAAACGACGGATGCGATGATTGCCACTACGCCAAGTACAGCTGTTGCCCTGATGGAATCACTAAGGCTCTTGGACCAAACAACGCTGGATGCCCGTCGACCACCATGGCGCCATTCATCCGTGGAGGAACCGCCGCCCCACAGAAGATCGTCTCTTGCAGTCAGCCACAGGATGCTGGAAATGTTTGCGGAGCCGGCTACAAGCTCACCTGGTACTATGACACTGCTGAAGGACGCTGCAATCAGTTCTGGTATGGAGGATGCGGTGGCAACGAGAACCGATTCGCTTCCAAAGAAATGTGCGAGACGATCTGCGTCGAGCCACCGGGCATTGGAAGATGCTACTTGCCAAAGATCGAAGGACCACTTCGTTGCGATCAGCCACAACCGAGATACTGGTACGATCACACCACCAAGCAGTGCGCCGCCTTCTGGTGGAGAGGATGCCTCGGAAACTCGAACAACTTTGCCAGCTGGGAGGAATGCAGCGTAAGATTTCGTTCCAGAATTCCTATATTCCTGACATTTTTTTTCAGACTTTCTGCAAGAATGTCGGACCATTGGAAGAGGCTACCACCCCATTGCCAGCCGTCACCGGACCACCACCACAGCGCTACTACCCAACCGCTGAGGTTCCAACCATTCAAATCGAATCCGGAGTTCCACAAGCTCCAGCCGAGGAGATCCGAAGACCAGTTGCCCCATCCATGGAGGAGGTTTGCCGCTCTCGTCAGGACGCCGGACCATGCGAGTCATACTCCGAACAATACTTCTACAATGCCTTCTCTAGTAAGACCTCAGCCATCCATTCCTCAATAAACTGCTCCATTTTTAGAACAATGTGAGGTGTTCACTTACGGAGGATGCGGAGGAAATCTCAACAGATTCCGCACCATGGAGGAATGCGAGCAGCGTTGCTTCTTCATCCACGGCGGTCTTCCAGCTCAGCCAGCTCAGCCAGCAGCTCCTGCCGCTCCTGTTGCTCCAGTGGCCCCAGTTGCCCCCGCGGCACCACGCCAGCCATCCAACATTGTGATCCCGCCAGCGGCCCACCAAACCCCAGCCGTCATTATTCCTTGTAAGTTCGTCCGAATCAGATTTCAGTTGGTTTGATATCATTTCTGAGTTTCATCAATTCTTTTGTGTTAACCTGAGTTCATTTGTGCAGCGAATAAGCAACGCGACGTTTGCCATCTCAACGTCGATCATGGACGATGCAAAGGAGCCTTCGACTCGTGGTACTATGAGGTCGCTGCTGGTGCGTGCGTCTCCTTCAAGTACACTGGATGCGGCGGAAACGCCAACCGATTCCCAACCAAGGAGCAATGCGAGGCGCTCTGTGTCAACTCGGCAGCTTCTGCCGACGCATCGGCCATCGGTATGCGCAATTTTGCAATTGATTCTTTCTATTTAAGTTCAATGTTACATTCTGTTGACTCGGTTCGACTTTTACGTAGTACCTCCGTAATTCCCGCGAAAACCACCAAAATATTTAGACGGACCACCAGGAGCGAACTCGGTGTGCGACGAGCCAAAAGAAAGCGGACCATGCAACAACTTCGCCACGAAATGGTTCTACAACAACGCCGACGGAACGTGCAATCGATTCCACTACGGCGGATGCCAGGGCAACAAGAATCGCTTCGACACCGAGCAGCAATGCAAGGCCGCGTGCAGCAACCATAAGGACGCGTGCACATTGCCAAAGGTGCAAGGACCATGCTCTGGAAAACATTCCTACTACTACTTCAACTCGGCTTCGCAACAATGCGAGACCTTCGTTTACGGTATTCGCGTTTCAACAGGACTTCTAACTAGATTGATATAATGATTGCAGGAGGATGCCTTGGAAACACCAATCGTTTTGCGACTATTGAAGAATGTCAGGCTCGTTGCCAACGTAAGTAGATACGAAATTCGCACATCGTGATACACAATTCATCCCATTGTTACTCATTTATTATTATTATTATATTGGCTACCCAACTCGCCCCCCAACAAAAAAGGAATCACATCACTTTCTGCTTGCTTCCCCCCATTCAATTTCCCGTTTGTGTGCGTCTGCTTCATGGAAAACTGCCTTGTTATTACAATTTCATTCATTTTCATCATCTTCTTCGCAACTGCCTTATTTATACATGTCTTTTCCCATTTACTGTTTCTTCTTTTTTTGCCTTTCCTCCCTTTCCCCCCACCCACGTCCTGCCCGCTCCACCAAATAATAAAGTTAAAATAAAATGTTATTGCTTGAGACGATTTCGAGTAATTTCGTATTTGCATGTTGGTGGTGTGCTTGATGTCAACCTGATCCTTTGTATTTCGTGTGATGTGTGATTACTAGTGGTGTGATGATTACAGGAAAGAAGCAGGAGGTCGGCGAGACAACGACGCTTGAGAAGATTCAGGAGCCTGTCAGCGCACCATTGCCGTCGCTTTCATTGAAGTAAGCAATGGAAATACTGACATAGTGTGGTTTTTTGTAAATCCATTCAAATAGATAATCCTTGATAGGATTTGCATGGTTCATTCAAAAATTCAGATACTCGTTTGCGCACAGCCTCCGTCGCGACTCTCCATTCCGTCGGTCTGCCGATCGCACCAATGTCCGACATGTCCAGACGCCGGCTATTGATTGCTACGCTCCAGCCGATCCGGGATCTTGCGAGTAGGCTACGAGACATTTTGTTCGTCTATGCATGTTTGAGCGTTTGCAGTGACTATCGCTTGGTTTATCATTATTCGGCGAAGACCGCCTCATGCCGATTGTTCTACTACGGCGGATGCGCCGGCAACACGAATCGGTTCGAGAAGAAGGAGCAATGCGAGGCGGCTTGCAAGCACCATGTTGAGGAAGACGGCGCGATTGTTCGAATCGAGAGCGTCACAGAGGAGTCGAAATCACTGGAAGACGTCAAAATCACCGAGGAGAAGAATGACTGGCATTTCCAGAATATGAGAGAGGAGATGGAAGAGCAGGTAATATGCTCGAATGGAAATGCCATCATATGCCCATTGTAGGGTCACGTGCTCTCCGACACCGGAGCCCTTCCGGAGCTCTGTATGCTACCTGAGCAGCGCGGATCATGCTTCGACAATATTCTTCGCTGGCGCTACAATTCAGAACGCTCCGAGTGTGTTTCATTCATGTATTCCGGATGCAACCCGAATGCTAATCACTTTACTAGTCAGGTTAGTTAGTAAATTGTCTCTTTACGATTCTGTGATGGCAATAATCCGGTGACTTCCGGTGTCTTCGGATTGGGTTTTCGAACAACGCGAAAAACGTTTGGCTCGCTATTCCGCCGTTTGCTCTCGTCCGGCTTCAGATGATCGTAGTTGTCTTTTGCAGCGAGTTCCTCCCTTTAAAAAATACCGTCCAATGATATTTTTTTTAATGAGGTCCTTACAATTTTTGAAGTTTAACTTGATTGGTGAGCAATATGTGCCTCTCGTCTCTCATCCGATTGCGCCTCTCTTCCTCAGCCTTTTTCGCATCTCGATGAACCATATGAACACAGAATGCGAATGCGGCAACAATAGCAAGAGCTAGAACGCACACCGAGATAATCCATATTCGTTTTCGCATTTGCGCTTTCGCCTTCCGACGAATCTCCATCGCATGCTCATAGGTCTTCTTTTTGGCGATGCTGAAAGTGCACACCGGGTATTTCTCGACAAGAGGACCAGTCTTCTTGCACTGGTTGCAGTGTCTTCCGGTGTACTTCTCCGGGCAAATGCAAGACAAGGATCTATTGAAGAAGTCTAAAGGACTACAAAGATCAATGGATTGGGTCTAACTTCCATACTAGGCGTTCCAAAATCGCATATGATTCGATCACAGTAGTCCCCTTCGAATCGATCGTTGCAAATGCATCTGAATCGACACATCAGATTTCATGCTTTCGGGTTTCTGATCTACCTTCCATGCAATATCTTTCCCTCAACACACCGACTCGTATACTGGCATTCGCTTCCGAAGAAGAAGCCAATACACTCGCATCGATTGTTCTTCCATTCGCCTCGATCTTGGCACTAAAATCAATTTATTGTTGGCGTCCGACGTTGCGATTATAAACAAACTTTGTCATCTGGTTTATAAGTGCACAATTCACCGGCCCAGCCCGAATCGCAAATGCACGGCTCAGCGAATAGTAAACTTTCCGGGTCATAGCGCAAACCGACAGAGATTCCGTGGACTAGAAGAATGTATTTAGGGATGAGCACTCAGTAATTAGTTTTGAAACGCCGATTAGCATGGCAATCATTGTTAACACATCATATTTGTTTACTGATTGCCCAACTACTTTTCAGCAGCCAAAAAAAAATCTCATATTTGCTTTTTCTCTATGTATTTTAGGTTTTTTTAACTCTAGTAGAGCACCTTACCACAAGCGAAATGCTCGCAAGACTTGCCGGTGTGCGGATGAATGCAATGGCATATTCCGCCGGTGTAAATCCCGCCATTTCGGCATCGCGCATTCGGATCATCGAGCGCAATGTTACTAGCGATATCGCGTTTTTGAAGCACTCTAGAATAGGCTTCGTCTTATCAATTGCACATACATATACATATACCTGTGAATTTGTTTGAGAATTTCATGATCTACATTGTTAATAGCGTCTAGTTGCAATATTGATATTAAGAATAGAAAAATAGCAGCGAGTAACATTGACGAGATCGATACTGAACTGATTGATAAACGATGATCGCGTTAGAAAACAAAAGGCAATGATATCGATTGAATGATTTTTATCGTGAAACGTATGTACAGAGATCCACATATGGGCAATTATTTGCGATGAAGGCAATCTCGTGATTCGGACTCGAATTCGATTTGCATGTTGACTTGTCCAATATTGAAGAACATCTTTGCGTTCTCGCCGGACGAGACAAACGCTTTTGGAATGTTGAACGTCACTTTTCGTTGGCAAGGCTGTAATATTGAAGTTTAAAAGCTCCTCGCCATCGTTAGCCTAACCGTAATTCCATCATCGCAGTCATGATAAATATTGAGCTTCGGATCAATGGTCATCACCTCCGAAGTGTGTCCAGACAGCAAGAATTGACCAAGAGAATCTGTTGTTCCCTCGGCGAGGAGATCATCGAGGTCCGGACCTGCAATAGGATGGTCCAATCAATGCTGTATTTGGAATTAATGCTTACCGCTATCATCATCGTATAGCTTCACCTTGGTGTTGGCCAAAGGCTTATCACCACACATAAGAACTCCCTTGACACCAACGAATTGGGTGAAGACGGCTTCAGAAGATAAAGCTAATAAGGATATTAAGAGAATGATCGGAAGCATTCTGAAAAATTATCGCATATAGGGGTGACCTTGAGAATTTGGACAATCAAAATACAGATTAAACTTCGAGACGAATCTTGACCTTTAAAACATATTGGCCGGTGAAAATCGAAAACTGAGAAAGCCTTTGGGTATTTATAGTATCTTGTCGCGCGTCTCTTCCTCGCCAACCCATCGCATACCTGTTGATGACTAATTGTCTTCTCGCTCCTACCCATTCTCTCATTCATGTTTTTTCATTTCTCATTTCATTTTCTTTTCATTTTCTTTTCTCGCTAGGTAAACATTTACCGGCACGTCCCAATGAGACAGTGTGAATTCGTCACCGGAAGAACACATAACTAGTGAGAGACCCACACGAGAAGAAACGATTGTGAATCATGGCGATCCCAGATTTCGAAAAAAAAACACACGCGGAATTGATCTTTTCCTTCTTTTTGAAGTGTTAGATCAATAGAGCTGATGAGTCATTGAACACAGTGACTTATGTACATCCAAATTTATTACTTCCGATCAATTAATGCCAAATACGGTATGATGATACCCGAAATATCTCAACAATATCTACTCGTCTCTAACACCGATTATTTAAACTTTCGGCTTTTCTGTCGTACTCTCTTTTGGCGAGATTCCGTATTTCATTCGGTAGGCCTCAAGCTCGGCCCTTCTTTGATTCGATCTGATCGAGTGACGTTCGGCCATTTCAGCACGGGCCGCTTCTTGCTTCTAAAAAAAAAAGCATGAGATCAACATGACATTCGGAGCTCACGTCATTCCACTTTTTGGCTTTTGCCATTTTATGGATTCGATTGTATTCCTTCCATCTACAGCAACAATAGCACACTCCAGCGATCAGCAGGACTCCAATTATTCCAGCGCAGACTGCAATTACAATGGCAACCGCTGATGTGCTCACTGTAACCATGAAACCAATTTCATTAAGCAAAATCTTAAAAATTGCTAGTACCCCAGCAAACGTTGTATTTGACATGCTTGATGTTACATCCAGGGTAGTACCAATCAAATGGAAGGCATTCTTTCGTTTTCCCGCCACACCAAAAACAGTCCTATAAAATTGAATGGAATTGATTTTTTTATTTCCACATTTTTTTCTTTCAAAATGTCAATAGAGAGTCTCTATCATTTTCTCAGCGTAATTATTGAAGTGAAGCCTTTAATCAATCTGGAAAAATGTCTTACCGTTCCCCTTCCAACACATGTCTCGCACGTTCTCAAATCGCTCGATTTGATTCTACAGTAATCCGTCTTTTCGCTCCACGTCATATTAGAGCATAACGCTAGTTGGAATATAAAGCTCGCAAGTAAGAATATCGTTAAATTCGAGTTCATTCTCTGCAAAAAAAATCGATAAAAAAGAAATGTTTAAGAATCGGCAAACGAGATGGTTACAAGAGTTTTGCGTTGTATGTAACATTGTTTGCCAACCAAGAAATCATCGAGTTCAGTTGGCGGGAGTTCACACACACATACATACAGACAAATAAACATTTATATATTTTTTTGGTAGCGGCAAAGTTGAATTGAAAAAAAAAATCGATAGTAAAGTGGGAAAAATGCGCTGGCAAAAAAGAGACCGCGACGGCGGTTTATTCAGCTTGCAATTTCCCAACCATATTTGGTCAATTTCTTTTTAAGCGGCGAGGTTGAGAGAAAAAGTGGATGAAATATGACACCTAGTGCCACCTGCGCTTTAAAAAAAACCGAATATACATATTGTGCATCAAACATTTATGTCGAAGGATTAGCATAGAAATTATTTCTAGGAGGCTTGCGATCGCGCATGCGGTCGATTCCGTTCCAGCGATGTGTGCAGTCAGCCAAAGGAGACTGGAAATTGCCGACTTGCGGTTCCACGGTATTCGGGATTCAAGAAAAAAAATTAGAACCATATAAAAATTGTTTTTAGGTGGTACTTTGACAAGCAACTTCGCCAATGTAAAATGATGATGTGGTCGGGATGCGGAGGAAATGGCAACAGCTTCTCGTCAAAGTCAGACTGCGAGACCCTCTGCCGTGCCGAATCCTCATGGAATGAACCGGATGCCGATATTTGGTAGGATTGTCGTACCGAGTGCTACTTTGACTTCCCACCTTTTTAGCCAGCTTCCAAGATCCTCGGGACCATGCACTGATTCGATTTCGATGTGGTACTACGACGAGCCTTCCAGCGAGTGCAAACAGTTTACTTATGGTGGATGCCGCGGAAATAAGAACAGATTTGTCACCAGACAGCAGTGCGAGCAGAGATGCAAACCGGTCAATGGAAAGAAGCCGGCGATTCAAAGTGATGGTATGTATGAAATTCTTAAGATCCGCAATGATTGATCAACGTCTTTCAGTGGTCTGCCGCCTTCCATTCGAGACGGGACCGTGCCGAATGAGACTTCAGAAGTACTTCTACGATCCTTACATTCAAAAATGTCAGGTGTTCTACTACGGTGGTTGCGAGGGAAATGCCAACAGGTAGATTATCCAAAAATCTCGCGCTCTTCATGAAATTCAGATTCGACACTGAGCTTGAATGCTACAAATTGTGCTCGAGCATCAAATCGGAGCCGAAGGAGAATATCGCACAGCTTTCTCATCAGTCGACACCCGTCATCTACGTCGTTGATAAGGGACCAATTCTCACTGGAACCACAGTAAAAATTCTAAAAAAGAAACCGAAAATTGAGAAATGCGATTTCAGTTCCGCATTCGCTGCAACAGCTATGGTGTGTTCCCGGTGACGTGGTACAAGAACGGCGGACTTCTCCAATTCGGATCAAGGATCACGGTAAGAGATTGATTTCATGAATTTGTTTTTTTCGGAAAATCTCAACCGTTTCACATTGCAGGAGGAGAACGATGACACCTTGGAGTTTGTCGACGCGCTCTCATCGGATGCCGGTGTCTACACGTGCGTCGCCGGCCACGATAGCCAAATGAGCGATGGCGTCGAGGTGGTCATCAAGCGTGCGCCAACCACCACCACCAAAATGACGCCGCGCCCGAAAACGACGACCATGACGACCACGTCGGCACCGACGACCCATCGCAAACCGATTGTGGACGCGTGCGTCGACACCGGCACCGCCGGCACGTGCAACTTGATCGTCCGCAACGGTCTGTGCACCAAAAAGCGCTATGGCAGCTTCTGTTGCCGCACGTGCTCCAAGAACAACTTCAAGTTCTAATCAATCATAATTCTGAAATCTCGATGAAAGAGATCTCGTTCTTCACGTCTTATTTATTCATTCAATTCATTTACTCTATTTTTTTTTCTAATGTGTTTCCAATAAATCTTCGCATTCATTCAAGTGTAAATAGTGTTCCACCCATTATAATTGCCGCAATTACCACTTCTATTAAGTCAGTATTGTTTTCACGGGACAATAATGCAGCTCCTCGCACTTTTTCTATTCCTCATTGGCTTTAGTTCGGCTCAGAGGTCGCACAAAAAGCAGAAGTTCGTGCGCCTGCCCAGTGGGTTTACGTTTCCAGCCGACGCTGCTTCAAATTTCCAGCGAGATGCCTATTTTCCAGCCACGGTATAATAATCGCTAGACTATTTGATCGAAGTGCGGAATTTCAGTTCCAACCGCCTTCTGACCGGATTCTGAAGAGCCCACCTAGATATTTGGCAGCTGATAATGGAAACTCGGCTCCTGCAGGTCTCTCTCGCTTCTAGCCTTTTTTAAGCGAGATTTTTGGAAAATTTCATTTTGAAACATTCTCAGTTTAGGTGGCCGGAATTCCGACTTTGTTGGAGATGGTGAAGGGACTCGGCAAGAGCCGACCGGAATGAACTACGCTGAGGTTCACTTTGTCACATTAGCCTAACTTTGGCGAGTTTCAGTATAAGAAAGCCATGCAGACTGCTGCTCCAACTCAACCACCTCAGCCAAATGATAGCTATCAAGTCACACCTCCTCCATCACCGCCACCTGCCGAAAATGGACCAACGGTAACCGCGCTTCCAATTTATAAACATTTTGTTATAATTTTTATGTTCCTCCGGAAACCACCGTTGAGCCACCAGCAATGCCAACAGAAGCCGCTCCATCATCAACAACCACTGCTGCCACGATGGGTCTCAGATACACAAAGTAGCTACATGAGAGTCTGAAAATGATTGAAATGCTTCATTTCAGTGTGAACGACGCCGCTCATCAAATTCAGAACAAATATTCTGGTCTTGACGCGAGCAAGCAATCACAACTCAAAGGCCACACATTCACAGCCCTCGGTGGTGGACAATTCTATCAAAGTCTTTTAGGACCGGTAAAAATTTTTCCTCCAAAAAGCTTAAAATAGTGACTATTTTAGAAAAACGGCTTCTCGCTACTTTCCTACTTTCTCAATAGCGGTTTTGCGAATAGCGGATTGAACAACGGCTTCTTCGTTCCAGTTCCTGTCGTAATTCCGCCACCACCGCCACCACCACCCGGTCCCAAATGCTTCACCAATCCATCGGGCTTTTTATGCTGTAATGTCACCCTGGAGAAAACGATGGAGGAGGCGTTCATTTCGGCAAAAGCCGAAGGTATCTCATCGTGTAATGTGCAAAAGTTCGCCACTGCTGTTCAAGAAGTAACAACCATAAATGGAAACACGAATGACAATAATTTCAGCAAGCTGAAAAAAAAATTTGGAACCACGTTTGAATCAATCGCCGCTCACAAGGATTTTGTGGCGAAAATCAATTTCGGCGGCGATTTGAATTGTAAAATCGAAATCGATGGAAAATTCATTCTGGCGTACGCAACACCACAAACCGAAGATGACGTAAGGCTTCAAACTTATCTTTTTTAATTTCAATTTCTAGGTAAATATTGTCGATGCAAACTCCTTCTTCTCTGGAGCCGCAGATAAGGAGCTCGAAGGGGTCAACGGCACGAAACCGACATACATCGTCTACGGACCCATCAAATAATCGAATCCCACTCGTTTATCACATAAAATTACATTAAAAATTTAAAAAGCATTAATTTAAAAAAGAGAAACATCGAAAGAGAGTTGGGGAATGAAATGAAATTGAATATAATACATGTATTGTACACATCTTTGGATTTTTTTGTTTCAAAAAAATGTTACAATGAAAGGCACCAACTTGGAACCAAGATTTTTGGCCAAACTGGGAGGGTTTACAGAAAAAAAGAAACAATTTCCGATATAGCACATGAGGTCGTTTAGTTACAGCAATTAGAAATATCAAATAAAAAATAAGAAGCCAGTCAAAAAATAAATAAATACTAAAAACAGATTATGTAGGGTTGACGAAGAGAGCACCGGCAGCGTAGGAGACCGATGAATCGCTTGGGGAGCGCACCTGCAATTTCCATTTCTAACATAATTTCTCTATTTCATTTTCCATAACAAAACCTTATTTGATTGAGAGTAGTTCAAAAATTTGAACTCGTGAGTGTGACTGTTGGACAAACGGTAGTGCTCGGCGGCTTGGAGCATCACCATAATCGGATTTCTTCCGCAAATCGTGTTACCAGTCCTCTTCAAATAATCGCTAAACATTGTCGGATTCAAAGTCTCAATCGCGTCCATGCCCTTCAAATTATTATTTTTTAATTAACGCGATAATTAATTTCCAATGAAAATCTTACAGCTCTGTCCATGTTTGTGATTTGCTGGTAGATTGGAATATTCGAATTTCGGTCGTATGGAGCGAACGAGAAGCGATCACCTGAATAACTTTTGAAGCGACGACATGAGTTTATGAATCGACATACCCCAATGACAGAAATCCGAAGAGATGACAAACAAATTGCGTGGGCTCTCCAAATAGCTCGCGAAGATGTTGCCGTAGGTAAGTTGGCGCGATCCAGTAACCGATCCGACGAGAATTGGAACGATTGTGAATTTTCGACTGAAGAAAACTCAAAATGCTCTGAAGCCATTTGAACCCTTACTTTCCCATGATCTTGACGATGAATGGCAATTGCATTTCAATACTGTGCTCCGATTCTTCATCGATGCGATCCATCAAATCGAATTGGCGGGTGTTGCGAAGCGCCTCATTCACTAGATTTTGGTATTATTAAACAATTAGCAATCACATTTTTAATACCATTGCTGTCGATATTCAAATCGCCGAATGGGGTGCGATACTTCGTGCATGTCGTCAAAGCGCATCCGTTAAGCGACACGACGTGAGAGGGTCCCAAGATGAACACTCGATCGCTAAACATTCGACATTACTCATTTGCCTCATCATCCAATTAAAATTTACACTGTATTCGGATTGATTTGCTTGAATGCGTAAGCGGCGGTCTCACCACAATACGAGTAGCCGGCATGTCTGTAAACAACCCCATCACTAATGGATGTCGAATAATTATGAGATTCGGGTTACGGTGAGATAATTGCCCTAGCGTCGCCAAGACGATCACCAGCCTCATCGAGCCACTTCGTCAGCTGACGATCGAGATCTCTCTGATTGCTCAAATACCATGAGCCGGCATGCGACGCACTGCGAATTGTCTCGCCGTTCATTTCTGAAGGGAGCCTGGAATTAAAATTATTTTCTTTTTCGAATGGTTTTATTAGAAAACACACAAATATTTTCCCTAAAACGACTGACAATAATATCATGTCACGTCAACAAATTGTGATGAGTCATTTTATAAAATCAATAAACATTAACTTTCGACATAAACAGAATCTCCAGGCTCCCGATATAAATGCAAAGAATGTGCTTGGTGCTGTTGAAGCCATGTTTGATTTTTCTTTGCTGATGAGATTATTTTTACGCCCAATTTGGCCCTTTCCGGGCAACGAATTGATTGAAAATCTATTTTAAGTGAATTGTGCGTATTGTCACGCGCTTCATTATTGATTTTCGCAATGAAAATACTTCTTACCAAACGAGAAGAAGCAATCGAGTGAGCCAATTGAATATATTAAGATTAAATACCTGGAAAGAAAAAAAACAAAGGCAAATGTCGCAAGAAATATGCGATTTCAAGTACCCGTATTAGTATTGATGAGAGAATATCGCGTAGGTCAATTATTGAATGGTTCGACCTAAAAGTGCATCATGAAAAAATACTTATAGCCAACGACACAACATACGTCTGAGTTGGAGCGCAACGAAAAGGGCGACGAGGAAGCGAGCGTTGGTTGGGCTGCTGAAAATCCAAAGGGCGAGTTGAATGGCACCAAAGCCGCCTCCTTGTTCGAATCTACCTGCAAGCCAACACATGTGTCCTGGTGGCTACTATAAAAACTAGTGAAAAAAAAAACCCGAAAAAAATGAGGTGAAAAAAATCTAGATATTTTATATATTTTTTTGTCTTCTTCGTTTAAAAATCGCCTCGAAACAAAACGGATTGGTGGAGAAAAGAATGACGGAAGACTGGCAATCGGCGAGATGGTCGAGATGGGAAAACGGCGACAGCGACGCAGAGTTGCCACGGGATTGTGAGTGTGTGAGCGAATGAGTGTGTGCGGGCCGCTGCCGCCGCGCTCTCGTCACAACACATAAAAAAAGTGTTTCCAATTTTATAAAAAATGATATTTTCGGACACTTTAAATGTCAAAAATTAAGCAATGCAAGGGTTCACAGAACGTACAACTTTCGAGTTCCCTCTTGAACCGCAAAGCAGTACCCATTGTCAAAAATGAGATTTTCAGAATTAATTAGTTGCCCCCTCCACACCAAAATAATTTTTTACCCTTAATCCTGGTGACCTTTGAGAACATCGGAATAATAAAAAAATCATAACGCTTTGAATATATAGACGCCAAAAATGTTCTTTGATTTATGTGTACCTTGAATATTTTCCAACACATGCGAAAAAAGGAACTCAAAGATTCGAAAGAAGCAACGAATTTGTTTGACGTCGGGTTTGAATATGCCCCGAATTCAATTGTACTTTTATGGTCCTTACGGTTCTTTGTCCTTTCAAGGGCAAGGAAACAATAGAGGGAAATGGTACTTAAATGAAACTAATCATTTTTGAATTGTCACGTAAAAGCCGCGAAAACGGATTGCCAGAACGAAGCGTATTTAGTTACACTATTCTTTATTAAATTTTAAGTATTATCAAAAATAGAAAATTAAACAAATTTCGAATGCAATAGGAAAAAAAGAAAACCATCAATAGAGTAAACATGATGACAAAAACATGTTGAAGAACGAGGCGTGCGGGTCGACAGTGAGCCAAAGGGTTTGGCGAAAACCCTCTCCAGGGTACACTCATGCTGTCACACCCATACTTAGTCGGCACCTCGATTCTCATCGTGTTTACGCACAACAATATTCTCAATAATTATTACTACAAATAATAGACTTATTATGATGATATGTACTTTGTGTTGGGATGAATTTTGGGACAGAATGTATTATATACACGTTATTAATACAATATAAACATTAAAAAATATATCATATATATCTACATATCAAATATACATTATTACACGACTTAACTTTTTTTATGAGCGCAATTCGTTAAGCCATTCCTCGAACATATTCCAGCATGGCTTTTTGCGGCATTGGACGCAAACTTCTCGTCCGCAGGCTTTGCAGAGACAGAGGACAAAGGGCTTTCCTTGAAAATTAAAAATTTTCATGAATTTCACGTTAGACGGAAATTGAATACGTCTGTTGGACGGCAACTTCATGCATTGTTGGCAGCCGAGACCTTGAACCTCTTCGTTGAACGATAGTCGATGTTCAAATATCGCATTTCTAGATTATCATTTCTTTGAAATTAATTTCTGATAATACCCTTGAAGAACCGCATCGACAATTTTCTTGATAATTTGATTTCTGAATTTCGACATGTCTTCTTTCATCATATCATTACGAATTTTCAACATTTCCGCGATATTCGAAGGCTTGAGAAGTTCGGTTAGGCAAGAGTAATGCTAAAGTAATGAAATTCCAGAAGTAAAAATTGTGAAATTCGTACAACAACATTTAAAAGCATCGACAATTCTTGATCATGGTCAATGTGAAGCTTGAACGCAAGGCTGTAAAAGAGATACAACACGGAATGAAGAGGGCGAACGGAGGGGCTGCAAATATAAAATTTCCATATTAAAAATATAAATATGTGTATGAACAACTTACTCATAATTTTCCAAGAAATCCAAGCAACTAGATTTTAAATTTCCAAAGAGATACTTATCACATAGTCGAAGCACTGTGCAAATATTAGATTCTTAAAAGTTATTCGATTACAAGTGAACGAAACACCAAAAAACGGACCGCAAACTTCGGTGGGGTAAAGCGCAAGATAGTTTGGTGAAACAACACGAATAAGAGTAAGAATATCCTCCGGCTTTTCGTCGAAAATCTCAATTTTCCCAAGGGATCCTGAAATTAGCAGTACATGACATTTTATTTTGTCCCAAATTACCTTCAATAAATCGAGTGTTGTTCATCACAGCTCGAAAAAAATCTGAGTTTTTAGAGAAGACATGAGAATCTACATAGAAGGTTTTATCCATAACATGTATAGGATAAGTTCTGTATTTGCTGGGAGCTTCAAAATCCACCTAAAAAAGGGAACTCAAATTTTTAAATTAAACATTAACTGACGTAATCTGAGTCCGTTGGAAATGTTTCATGAGAAGTTGTTGGTTGAATGAGAATTACGTTCACGGGAAAGTTAGTCATTTGTGAGTAGCGTGAATACATAATTCTGAACAATTCTATTTTTAAACAGTCACCAAATTTAATAGTTAGGCAACAAAGTTGCAAAAAAATACGCAAAAACAAAAGGAGAAAACGACGCAATCGATAAATAAAATTTGAATTCTACCGTACTCATAAATATTAAATCCGTTCGTGATAATAATGAAAATTATTGTTATGCGTCTTTCTCTACAAATTTTATTTATTTTTTATTTCTCTAAAACTAAATTTTTTATTTTTCGAAAAAAAACTCTGAAAATCCATTAATTACGATTTTTTATTCGTATTAATATATAGAAACTGTAGTACCGAAGTTTAGATTTGTCAAATATACATAGTCATTCTCACGACGTGCTTCAGAATTCAATTGAATTCTTTAAATTTATTGTTTCTGCGAATTCTATTTTCGTCTTCTTAAAGACACTACTACATATTATGATGTGTGTGTGCACCAAGAATGCGCTAACATTTTATTTCACTGACGCGTTCAACCTTGTATTTTTCATGATTGACAACTGGACCCACATTTTTTCAAATAATCACGCGTCTGAATCCAAATAAATTTTTTTCAGGTAATGACCGATATTGTCGATATAAAAGAGAAACTGAAATTTAATAACATCACAATCCAATCGCAGGTATTTATTTTATTTATTTTTTGTTTTTTTTACACTCTGGCAAATCAAATAAAATATTTTGAGAATCGAATAACCAATAATAAATTCTTAAACCAATTTAGCAATAGTAAAATTTATTGATATTCAATGGAATTCATTGAGGCTCAATATTTTTTTCATTCACTTTATTGGAGTCTTATAAGCGCCGATTATAATACTTTCTGAAGCTTTATTTTTATGAAAAAAATTTGAAATATTATCGATACACGTCAGTCCCTTAAGTAACTAAAAAATAGTTTATTTGGATTGCCTGAGCATTTATAGGGATTTAGTCAATTATTAGAAGAGTTCAAATCGACGAAACTGGATAAAAAACAAAAAGTTGCACTTGAAAATGTTTATTTTGACTGCATTTTTCAATACGGAATTGTTCCATGCCAATGGTTTCAAGAAACATTACCTCACATGCTGAAAAATGGTAAATTTTGGAAAGATTTAATGGTTAGAAATTAAATAGTGTTTATAGGGTACCTAAATTCCGAAACATTGCTGGACGAAATTTCAATTCGGATAAATAAGGCGCCAAATGCTGAGAATATCATTCGCGTTATAACAGAAACATGTGATTTGCATTATTCGGCATTTTTGAAGCTGGCCAGACGTGTAAACTCTGATGAATTGACGAGGCTATTCAATGTAAACTCATCGAAACGGTTAGAATTGATTATTAATAATTCACTACTATAAAATTTACAGGCTCCAAAACTATCTTAAAATTTTGATAATCTCAGATGTCCTAAATAATGCCCAAAAACAGAAATTAATGGAAAAAATTTCGAAATCATCTGAGCTTCACGTATTTTTTAATCAATCAGATTCGAAATTTGACGTTGAAGGTAAATTCTTCCTACTATTTTTTAAAGAAATAATCAATGTTTCTAGATTTTGATGATTCCCAGCTTCAATCATGCTCACTTGCGGAATTCGATGCTTTTGAAATTTCTAATTTGCTTCAAAAAAGGCAGAGAATTGTTTTGAACAAAACTTTAAAGGGACATACTGCGTTGCTACCGGATCTTATCGCCCTTATGCAGTCTCGGCAATTGATTATGAAAAAAATTGACGAAAAATCACATGGAGAGGAAGCTGAAGCTGTAATTTTGTTTTAACACATAATATCTGTTATTCCATTTCAAATTTTAGATTCGCAAGCTAATTTCGGATTGTCACTCGTACGCAAAACCGAAAACTCCGATGCTATCACGATCTATCAAAATTGGAGATTTGTTTGATCTTGTAGTAGCTGATGGAAAAACGGACAAATTTCTCAACTCTGTGGATTTTCTCTTTGAAAAGCACAATCTTCACGAAAATGAGACGCTTTTAGCATTTGTTGTCGCATTGTTACCATTTTGTGAATCTCAGAAGCAAGCTTGTCGAATCATTTCAAATTTTGCAAAGAAGAAACCATATTTGGTAGGACTTTAAAATTATAATTTTACAGTAATTGTCAGTATTTGAGGCGAACAACTATATTTTTTATTTTATCAGCCTGTTTGGGAACCCATTCTTCAAAATTGAAAGATCATTAGTTATCGAAACGATGTACGAGCTTGCGGTGAATGGGGTATGAAATTTTTGAATTTTATTTGAAAGAGATTGCTTTATTTAGTACGTTGTTGGCCAAATTGTCAAATTCTACTGCGCTGTAATTCAACACCCAATAAAGGAGAAATGTTTGATCTACGATTGTCTGAGTAGAATAGTTAAAAAGTGAACTTCATATTATTATGTTTGTCAAGAAAAAATTACAGACATCCATCAGTCATTGCAGCCGTATTTCCATTGATAAAGGATTTTCCGCCATCAGATTCTGAAGAAATATTTCTAGCAAAATTGGAGCTAGCCAAGATATGCTGCATTCAAACGTAAAAAATTTAAATAGATTTAGAAAAGTTCGAGATTTTAATGATTTAGTGATCAATGTGATAAAATACTCTCTGTTCTTTCAAAATTGTTAAAGGACGATGGCAGCCGATTAGCTCACACGATTAATATTGTCGTCGAACTCTGTAAACACGATGTACTTGAAATGAAAACTGTTAGAAGGCAGCTTCTCAAGAGAATCGGAAATCACGGAAATGAAAAAGCCCATGCAGCTTACTGTAAATTATTGGCGCTTGGAGTTACCTCGGACCCTGACGAGACCGTTGAAATGGTATTCAATAAACAAAATCGATTCCAAATCGTTATGTGCTCATTTAGAACGCGGAATTCCGAGAAGAGTGCATCAAAGAGCTTCTTGGCTACACGAAACTATCGAAACCGGGAGAAATACATCAGAGCATTGTATGTGAAGCGTGGAAATCGCTCGGAAGCTTTGATGCCGATGAAGTGGCGTCTGCTGCGTTTGACGGGATTGATGGATTACTAGCGGGATTTAAGAGTATGAGCAAGACTGCAAGAAAAGGTTGGTTTTAGAGTGAAAATTGCGCGTTACCCGAATTTTTTTCGTAGGATTTGTCGAATTCCTTCGCCAATTTGTTGCGCGAGAAGTTGAAAATCTTCCACGACCTCTTTACAATCTCACGTCATCGCCCTCCACGGATGTTCTTCCTTTGTTCACAAATATCGACTCGTTCAAGGATTCCTTGCATAATTTGCATAATGAGGTAAAAAGTAGTTCCAGGTTGATCAAATTTTTATTAATTGTCTTCAGAGCTCATGGTTTTGGCGAGCAAGTCTTCCGCTAAGCGCGTCAATTCTGAAGCTAAGCTCGCCTTCAAATAAGGCGGTAACGGCAGTGAGGTTGATTCGATCATGTGCAACCCTTATTAGTCCATCAACGAGCCATGAGGATATGATTTCGCTGTTTGCCTCATGGCGCATTTGCATTCGAGAAGCGCTCAATAGTTTATCGGAATCCAAAAATCACGATATTTTATGGGCGAGAGACCAGATTTGTGAGGAAGGCCGACGATCATTGGCGGAGAATGGCGAATCGGTGGATAATGTCATGATGATACTCGCCGTTCTCGCTGGAATCATTGAAGAGAAAATTAAGACGGTTTGAAAATTTGAATATGCAATCGATTAAATTATTTTGTTCTAGATTTCTGATCCGAAAATTGTCGATGAAATTACCAAAAATCACAAGCCTTGGCTGATTTCGGTTTTTGAGTTTTGTGCAACACGTCTTCCGAAGGAGTTCAAGCATCAACGAGGCAAAAAAGCAAATCCGATATACCAAATTTTGACGGTAATTTTTCCATTTTATCTTTGTCCGATTTTCAAAAAGTATCTGTTTTTCCAGCAGTCCAACAAATCGTCGTTGCATATCGCCATATTCTGTGCTAAGCTTCTGCTCCGACATTATGCGATTTTGGAGTTTTATAAAATGGAAAGCAATTTTTGTTTGAAGAAAGAACCACTTGAAATTTGTCTTCTGGAAAATTCTGAAGCCAAATTAGACGTCGTTCCGAGTCGAAGAGATTTGTGGATTAATGCGGAAGCATATGGTTGTGATCGCCTTACAACAATTGCCGTTGAGAACAGATACAAAAAGCAAATTGAGAAGGAAGATTGTTTAGACGATCCGAACATTCTTCTAGAATCTATTGGATCAGTTGAAAGCATTGAAGTAACGAGAAAAACGTTGATTTTATCAGAAAAAAAAATTTATTTCCAGAAATTTTTCACCTCGTTGTCTGCCTCAGACACATCAAATTTGATGGGAATGCATAAGAAGGCGCGAAAAGTTATTGAGAAATTGTTCAATAATGGAACCGAACAGATAAAAAAGGCAATTTATCAAGGGTTGTCGGATTTGGCCGTGGCAACTTCATTGAAAATCCCGATGGCGAAACAAACAATTTCGATGGAGAAATTTCCCGAGAATAGTCTGATTCGAATGATCTGTCGATGTTTTGATGAGAAAAGTGGGATTGATGATGATGGATTGAGAGAACTGATCAGGGCTCTGATTTCGCATAAGAGATCAGACGGAAAGTATGAAATTTTTACTAGTTTTCTGACCTTATAATTGGTTTTTAGGCGGCTTCCTCAAGCAAATTGGTTAGGAATTATTGAAAAGACGAATTGGAAGAATTCGGAGCCTGAGCAGTTGCTAGCAGTTGTATGTCTTGCTTGTGAGCAGAATATTGAGGAGGTAAATGATCTCAAGATGAATTGTTAAAATTTCCTGTAATTTCAGATTGTTTTTGAAGTTTTGAATGATATCGAATGTGTGGAACGTCATCCGAAAATTTTGGAAGTTTTTGCTGAGCATCTTCATGCCGTAATCAATATGGTTTCAAGTCAAGTTGCTGAAAAGCTTATAAGGTTTTGATTTAATACAAAATTAATACATATTTTGAAAATGGTTGATATTTTATAGAAGAATAATTGAAAAGATTCGAAGTGAGTCGGAAATTGCTGATATATTGAAGGAATCGATTCGTAGCAACCAACGATTGCCGGTAATTTGAGGCGTATTTAAATATTAATTCGTTTTCATTTTCAGATAGTTCGAACCATTCTTTCTCTTGAATTACCACCGCTATCGGAATGTGAGATGCTTTCAGATTGTCTTCTTGATTGCCTAATTGAGCCGCAAGAATTTGTTGGTTGCATTTCAAGGTAAATTTTAAAGAATCCAGTGAAATTTCTATAATTATGACGACTTTTAGAAATTATGATTTCTGGATTGAATCTCGCAAAGCTGACGACATGAAAATGAAGCGATTATGTGAATTGTATGCGGAAGAGGCGGATAAGTAAGAATTTGAAATCCCGACATATTTCATAAAATTATACGTATTTTTCAGAAACACGATGCTTGCTATTTTGTCGATCGAATCAGATTCTTTGTCGGTGAAACGAAGATTTGAAAAGATTTTGGATGTGATCTCAGTTAGCAGAATATCCAGAAGCTCGTCTCTTCCAATGGTATCGCATTGAAAAATTTATAGAAAAAAACTAAAAATTTTTAGGATTCGTTCCTTCCGATCATTATGGCACTTTTGGTTTCGGCATCAGATCAATTCCCATTGCATTGGTTTGGATATGATTCGCAGGTGTTGGAAATAATGATGATTCTTGTTCAACGATTTTGGAATGAATACACAAGTTGCCAAGATTTTGAGGATAATGTGAAACATGTGAGTTTTTCTTTAATTTAAGTTTTAATAAAAATATGAAATTGTCGTTTTCAGCTTGTTTCCTTCTTGATGCCATATCTTAAGAAGGAAGACTCCTATCCTGACTGGCAACGAACTACCGCGAAGTATCTTCTTCGCTCGATTTTTGCTAAATTCCCTTCAAAAGTGATGCCGATTGTGGAGAATGAGCCTGACCAATTTTTCAATATTCTTATTGAAGATTTATAGAATTTGTTAAATTTCTTGTTGATTATTATCCCGATAGATCTTATTATATTTACGGTTCGTTGAATTTAATAAATTTTCCTTTTTTTGCTATTTTCTTGTTGACAATTTTTATTGGTTCAAATGATCCAGTTTACCTACATCAATGATTCTTATAATTTTCTAATTTTTTTGTAACAATTATAATTTCCAATTTGCGATTTTCAGAATGTCTGTGGAACAACACTTGTCGAATGAGGTGTTCCTGCAGAGGCTAACCGCGTTCTACAGAGATTCGAAAATACGCGGACCGAAAAGTGTCTATGTCACAATGAAAGCTTGTAAGTTCACTTGGAAGTCTTATTAGGAATAATCGAGGATTTTAGATGATGGCCGAACAAAGGCAGTACCGAAAGGGGCGGAATTCAAGGACGGAGATGAGGTTTCTTGTTTGTTCAGAGCCAAGTGGGGAAATCGCAAAATCGCTACAGAGGTACGGAAAAGGCGATTTGATCGGCAAAATGCATTTTTTTTTTCCAGGTGAAAGCTAAAGAGGTCAATAAATTCCATGCACAATATGCCCAAATTATCACATCGCAGTTGGTCAACTTAGAGAAGCGAAAGAAGATCGATGAGGAAAAGAAGAAGTCAACGGGTGCCAGTAAAGCCTAAAATTATTAGGGTCCGATACATGTCTAGAAAATTTTCTCTGCATCCACTTTCATTCTTCCTCATTGTCTAAGTTATTTAAGTATTATTGCACTGTGATTTGTTGATTGTTTGTTTTGATTGCCCTTGAATTGCTGAAACCGAAAAATAAAACAAAACAAAATAGTTTATTATTCCTTTTTTTTGAGGGGAAAATCAAAGCGAATTTTTTTTCGAAAGAAGCGAAACAAACAAAATCGAAATTGTGCGTGACGCCTAAAAAAATGATCACATGGAGGATATTTGCAAAAATTGATGGAGACGGCTGAGGAAATGTACAAAACTACACGGAGGCTGCATGAGACGGGGGGAAGAAAAAAAAGCTCAATTTCAATATTTAGAAGGACCTTCGTATTTGAGGCGGATATCTCGAAGCGAAATGATTTTTAGGATGTGGTTAGGCGACTAGATATGGCGCTGACCAGAAGATTCCGATTGTCGAGGCGATTATGAATATGGTGAACACGTAGAGGCATAGACGATCGACGACCTGAATTTGAAAAATATTTGTACGTGTGTGTGGCCGTGGAATTTTCTCTTCCATTTAATTCGCAATTTTTAGGCCACTTCACGTTTCTATAACTTTTTTTCATCTCTTCAGTCGATGATGTAAGTGTTTCACAATTTTTGAAAACATTTCCAATAAATCACCATTGCAGCGAATTTCCAATTGTTCGACGCCTGCTCCTCTTTATCACTTTCCACCATTCGTTTCGTCACCACCTTGAGCTCATGATAAATTCGATGAAGAATGATTAGAGTGGCTTGTTGGGAGGCATCAACGTTATTCGGCCCAATCTGCAGACAATTTTTTAGACACACGATGAAACGGATCTTTTTTTCTTGAACAAACCGCTGTGCTCTGCAATCCTGTCAACCCGTTGCCGGTCGATTGGCTCATAATATATTGATTGAATCGACGATCGGCGTCGAAGGAGTTTGAGCGTGACAATGAGCATTCATTATCTTTGATATTCCTAATAAGCGATTCCGAATGTCGATTGGGTTTGACTGCGAAAAGTGGCGGTAATGCAGCATAGGTGAGATTATAGCCAGGACGCTTCATTCTCAATAGCCATGGAATCCAGTAAAGTAGAAGATTGCGCGTCTAAACCCAACAAAAATTTTGGTAATTTATTTCAAGGTGAATATCGTACCAATGGCCCCATGTCATGTGTCTCTGGAGTACGATAATGAAGATTTAAAACGTATACTGTGAAGACGGTTGAAGCGGTGACCACAATCATACAACAAGTGAAAAATATTCCTAATAAAGGCACCGCTTCTGACGTCGGTGGCGACATTTCAGACACTATGCTTAAAAAGAAGCAAATCGAAAGAAGCACGGTGATCTCTAAAATTTCGAGACATGTTAATAATTCTCAAAAACCCAATATACGAAGTGTGATCTTCTCGCCGGCGTCTGGTGGCAATGTGAAACCTAATAAGGTCATGAGGGTTGTCAAAATGCACGGCATGATTAAATTGAATCCTAAAGCTTTAAATGGTCAGAGCTCTCGTTTGACAGGTACCGTAATAGAGGGTCCGACGCCTCATGTGCAAATAGAAGTGAACGTCTGGGTAGGGCTCCGGGCAACACTCGTAGAATTTCACATTCCTCTCAACAGTTGTCACTGGAAATTGTGTTTTTAGGAAAAGTTTTGACGATTCCGTTTTTTTGAAATCGCTGTTAGGTCACAAGTGCGCTCCCTAGAACACTTTTTTTCTCTGATATCTCTCATTTACTCACAAGGCAGCGCCCATTCTCCGTTCGGTAGATATTCGCTAATATCGAATCCGCCGGTGGCCGGCTGTAAATCCAGCTTATGGCCATCATAGGTCCATGAGCCGAATTTGAAAAAACACTTTTGCTCGTCAAACGGAAACCATTGAATGTCGATTTTGCATGAGATCTTGAATATTCCCGGAGGCACCCATTTAACGTGGCCATTCGAATAGACGATCATATTCGTCTGATACGTCGAATCGAATGAGGTGTCGACGCTGAAAAGCCGTATCGGGAATTGGATCTTGAATTGATCGCATGGGAAACGTCTCGTACCTGTTGTATAGAAGAACATCGGGCTTCCAGATTTTACCCGCCGGAAATCTGACGTCTGTGATATTGCCATATTCAGCAATGTCCCATACTAGATTATAGTCCTGCCACGTCTAGAAATGAGCAATTAGAATCGAATTGGTTTTTCAGTTTGATTACATAATCGAGCCATGCGTTCACATAGACAACCTGATTCTTCTCATCAACGTCAATTATTTGTTGAAGAGCAACCTGAAGGAAATGAGAGGGAATAGTACAAAATGTTGTAAGACCAAAATTCACTATCAACATGTGTTGTTCAAGAAATATGCCGTCGTGTTATAAGAAATTGACATATATCTTGTCACTTTTGAGTGATCAAGAGGACAACGTGCCGTCAATACCTTCAAATGCACGGTGACCGGCTCCGAATGATTGGCCACAGGTCGTTCGAGGTTGTTGTAGTTGCGCATGAGATCCTCATACAGCCGTCGCTCCTGAAGTGAGCCGTAGACGCTGACGACGAGTGCCGCCGACACGAACAGGGCGGGAACGCAGAGCAACATCCGGTCATTAGCATCGAATATCAATAATTGATTCGCATTCGGGAGGTTTCGCGTCTAAAGTAGTTGAGAGATGAGAGGATAATTGCTAGGGGTTTCGGTTTTTTTGGGTGCGAAAATGAATGATCGATGGGTTGGAAACGAAATGAGTGATCGGTAAAGTCAAAAACACAACGCCAGGTTACTCTTGAGCATCAATGAGCACAAGGAATCTAGGCAAATTTTTCTTTATCGAATTATTTCATCGACGCCGAATGAGATGAGAAATTTTATAGGTGTTTTTGTTTGGTTGAGGGTGGAAGTGAGATCCGCCAGACATCTTAATGACAATGGAGATTTGAAAAAGAAAGGGTCTCGCGGCGAAATTACAATAATGAGAATTCCAAACTGTCTCTTAGCTATTTTTTAAATAAAAATAATTTTGCAGAATATTCACTTTGAAAAAAATCATCTCGATGAGTTTTTTCATTTAAAACTCAAGATCGCAATAGAATTTTTAAAAAGTTGATATTTCTCATTTTAGAAAAAATTCAAAATTCAAAGAAGGAAATCAAAAAGACGGCAAGAACAGCAAAAAAAAATAACTTATTGAAAGGAACACAATGCAAATGTTTTGTCGGCGATTCTCCAGAGGATTGCGGTGACACAACTGACCGACGAATTGGCCATATTTGTTTCAATCCTTTCGTTCCAATATATGCCCTTCTGCCAACTATGGGTCAGGTGTTTCGCGTACAAAAAAAATAGAAGATAGAAAGGAGCACAGACACATTTGTTAGTTTTAAATGAGAAGAGGTCGCTGAAGACAAATGCCGCCGGCATTAAAATGGCCCCGACATAAACCAAATGGATAATCGTTTTGTGGGGGGGGGGGTGGGAGCTGCCGACCGAAGGACCATTAGCATCATACACAGAGACCTAAAAAATATTGTTAACGAACTGAACGAGTGTCATCGGGAATGATTTATCAAATGTGTAACAAAAAATCGACACCCGAACTAATCAGTTGGTGCTAGCGATCGACAAAGGCCAACAATTGATAATATGCGTTACTTTTTAAATTGCACATCTCAAACATTGTTACAGTAATACGATGTTTCATTAAATTATGATATGGGCAAATTCGACTTAATAATGAAATATGAGAAACAGAAGCAGGTTGGGTACATTTTTTTTGGAAGAGCAAGGCGAAAATGGTTGGAGCTCATATCTATGGTTCTATGGAGATTTAGGAAAAATAACGTTAAATTGCTTTTGAGCAATCCATATAAGATTTTTTTAACCAAAATATGAAAAAAAAGCCTAACCCCCGGAAGCCACCAGTTTATTTGAAAGAGCAATTTTCTCAAAATTGAATCATGAAGGACTGAGTGCAATCACACCGCATGAACTCTGCGGACTTGCATTTTAATTTACGCAATTTCTGCACAGAAGTTGCTTTTTTTGAATGTTTTGCGTAGAAACTAAAAAAAATGCTTACGGTCTTGAAAAAGACGTTCTATAAGTTGTGTGGATTACTGTAGGTTCAAATTCGTATAGAGAATTCTAACATTTTGCACAAAACTACTAGGCAAGTCGGAGAAGCTATTAAACACAAATGTTCTCAAGCAAAAGCAGAGCAGGATGGAAGAAAAACGAGCGCTCGCGAAATTTAAAGTGCATTATTCGATAATCTGCTTATTATTATTATAATAATTATTATTACTATACGAACAAAAAATAATGGAGGAGAGAAATGGATGAAACGAGAGAAGACGCTGACAAAGTTCATGAGCGAAAGAACACACAACACACATACACAAAATTCCGCGTGTTAAAATATCAATGAGAGCTCGGAATTACACAATCGCGGCGGGATTCCAAATAGCATCATTTTGCAGAAGTTTGATTATAAATTTATCATGCGGTCATGCTCATCAATCACGTCGATCGGGTCCCGCCACGATTTGTGAGTGTCTGTTTTTTTTCTTGTGCGAAGTGTGAAATGATCTCATATTTCGTCAGCGGCCGATTATTGTTATTTTATCCGCATGCATATGTTCAATTAAAACGTTGATAGATCAATATTTTTCTTGTCGTTGCACCGAGTGCAACGGAGCACATGTTTTTGTTGAAATTCACATGCAGAGCTTGACGATGAGTTCAAGTGCTTCGTGCAGCCGGATGATTTGCACAGTGTGAATGATAAATCGCAAAATGCGGAAGGAAAAAGAGCAGCAGGAAAAAAATCACATGGCTACTTAACGCATTTTCGGTGGTGGCCGAAGCGGATTTTGGAATTCTGGTGGGAAACACGCCACAGATTTACACGACGATGGCCTTCGTCGGGAGCACAAGCGAGTTAGTAAGTAAGCAAAGCCAACAAAATGGAATGAGCTGCACACGAAAAAAAATGGGAAACGAGAAGGCGGGTCGGGGACGACCGGAGGGCTCGGTCATTCTCGTCCTGTAGTTTTGATGAACTCTCTGTGGTGGTGAAAACACAAACACACACACGTTTGTTTTTTGGGTGGAATGAGATAAACTAGCAATCTGCGAACAATTTTTGCCCGGAACGATGTCCGCAGACTGTTTACCTCAAGAGGAGCTTGACATCAACTTTTTCGGCTTTCAAGAAAAATTCAAAAACACAAATTGGGGCCAATTTTTGATTTACGATTCTCGAGATGAATTAGGCAGCCAACGAACATATATTTCATTCAGGCATCGCCGTGCTCTTCGCAAAGGCGAAACGAAAATTGACGGAAACTCGTTACTACTACTGTAGGCGAATGTCGAGGCGGCTTTAATGCAATTCAAAAACACTGGTAGGTAGGTAAAAGCACTTCCCACACATGAAGCTGCAGTAGAACAAAATTGGCGAGGAAAAAAAACAATGAGGTCATCATGATGAAGGAGTAGGAGGAGGAGGAGGAGGAGAAGAAGAAAAATTGAGACGAGCCGGAGGTCCGAATTTGATTGTGGTGGAAAAGCCTTTTCGGAAATGAGTGGAGATGCCGAATTTGCAGCTAGATTCGATTCCGGTTTGAAACATCAGTATCAAAGTGCGAACTTCTATATATAGTATCCAATGGCATTTCGAAATGGTCCCGTATGGAAAGTGTCGTCCGATTCCTGTCGTGTTCCTCTCGGCCATAAGGAAGGCTCAATCTATTTCCCACAATCGACTTCATTGATAAACAACAATAAGACGGCCAAATAAGGCGACCACAGTTCTGAGCATTCTGCAGAGACGAGAAAAAATCGCATTAAAATCTTTTCGCCATTAGTCTCGAAGCGTCGCACCATCATCAATTTTATTGGAATCGTGAGAAATATCACTTTCTTTTTTTTATTGCAAAAGCAAATACATATTTGGGGGGTAAAACTCGTAGAGAAAATGGAATGTGAATGAATCATGCGAACAGATAGGGTGCTCGAAGGGATATGACGATCGATGTGACGATGATCAGAAATGTGAACGCGATTAGGCAAAGACGATCGACGACGATGGCGGCGAATCTCCATTCCAATTTGATACGATCGTCCTCGTGCGAGTCATCGTCGTGCTCGCGAATCATCTAAACAATGTTTGAAATGCTCGACTCGAAATTCCACCACCTTGACATGATCATAAATCTTTTGGAGGACGCGTAATCGTTCAACGCCGCGATCGTCGCCCATTTTTTGCTGTTTCACTTGAAATATGAGCTCGTCAAAGTTGTCCTTGAGCATTAGGCCCATTGAATGGATCTGTTGTATGGTGCCGTCGGCCTGAAGTCGTTTACAATAATTGGTTTACTTTACAATTTGTGAGAGGAACAACACAATTGAAAAAAAAAAACCATTTGAAAATTGAAATATGAAGCACTTTTTTGAGTGGCAAAATTCTCGGGATTGTCAATTTTTTAAGCCAAAATATTCTTACATATTCAAAAGCTGTCCTTGCCGTCGATTCGCGTCGTTTCCTTTCACCCCAACTCTTTTTCAGCGTTTGGAGGTTGTTCTCCCTCTGTGGCATTTTCATTCTCAGCAGCCACGGAGACCATTCAAGCAGGATAAATCTCATCTAGAAGCATTATTATCTATTAAGTATTCATATTATATGTAATACCCAGAATCCCATTCTCTCATGTACTTGATGATTGCGAAAATGATAACTTTGGACGTAGACGGTGAACGAGGTGGCCAGCACGGATATCGCGTTACAAGTGTGGAAAAATACTCCTTGAAAATTGATCGGATGGCACCAAAAATAGCGTAAAATGGGGGGATGCTACCTAATAAGGGTACGGCTTCTGATGTTTGAGGGGTCAGCTCGCTCATGATAGTGAGGAAGATGCAAATCGCAAGTGATACAGAAATCTAGAAAAACTATTCAATGAAAACTGATTCTAGAATTTTGATTTATTACCTGCAATCCGACTTTCTCGCAGGTTTCAGGGCTCACTGTGAATCCGAGAATTACTAAAATCATCGTTAGCAACACTGGAGATATCAGATTGAATGCGTAGTACCTGAATGGCATTGAGTTTCTCTTACCACGAAATTCTTAATACTTACAGAGTTCTCCTTCTAAGATACAATGTGAACGTGATGTCTTCATACTGCTCCGGACAACATTCATATTGCTTCACGGTAATATTCGTCGCGTGATCTATGAAACGCGATTTCATCATTCGTTTATCAAATAGGATTAATTAAATACTTATAATAATCCATTCCCCGTTCGGAATAAATTCCGAAAAATCGAAATCCCCTTTTTCTAATTGAATCTTATCACGGGTGTATGTCCAGGATCCGAACTATAATGCTTCTCTCATTATAATCGAGGGCTTTGAATTTTAAAACCTTGAAATAGCAAATTTGCTCGTCAAACGGGAACCAATAAATGTCCAGCTTGCACGAGACTTTAAATATTCCGGGCGGCATCCAAGTTATAATCCCATTATGGTAATTCACTAGATTAACTTTGTACGACGAGTCAAATTCCGAGTCGACACTTCAAAAAAAAAACAGCAATTATGTTCAGAAATTTGGAAAATTTCTACCTATTATAGAGCAGAACATCCGGTGTCCAGAGAGCGTCAGGCGGATGACGAAGATCGGAAATATTCTCGTAGCTCGTCGGCTCCCAACGCAGATTCTCATCTCGCCATGAGAATTTGAGCCAAGCATTCACTTCAAGCTGCTCCTCTTTTTCCGACTGTAATATTTTCAGGTAATGCCTGATGAATTTCTATTCTACAATTTCTACAGTGAAAAAAAATGGTGTGTTGTGTGCTACAGATAATATATTGTGTGCTACAGATAATATGGTGTGCTACAGATAATAAAAAAATAATAATAAATCAAAGCGGACGAGTTTTTCGTGGCCGTGGAAAAGAATCTAATTCGGCCATTTCTACAAAATTGTTAATCACTTTTAAAATTAGGTTTAATTTCAACCATAATTTAATATTGTTTTTGTTCGTTAAAAATTTAATTGGTTTGCTTAAATTACCAAATTAATTATCTGCTGCAGAGAAACCCCAAGAGTCACCATCACTGGTTTCGAATAGTCAAGTATTGGCCGCTCCTCCTAAAATCAATTAATTGTCGAAACAAAAACGAGTTGATACCTTGACATAGCCGCTCATCAAGTCATTGATGAGTCGAACTTCAGCCGGTGAGCCAACAACTTGGCCGAAAAGAGCAAAAAGCGCAAGTATCGTCATTTATTCATAATTCTGCCTGAAACAAATAGACCGAAAAAAATCAAATAATAAAAAGGCAGACGAACGAACTATAAACTAGAAAGCCGCGAGCGGAAAGAGAAACGCCAGATGACAACTGTTGAGCTGCTGGACGAGCGAGAGAACCGAGCTGGAGCAGCTGAATTGGTGGTGGTAGCAAAACTTTGGCGGGGGGTTATCAAATTACGACGTCCACTATTTTTTTTCGTCCGTTTGCACAGATTTTATTAGATTTTTTTCTTGCAAAAATTCATAATGCGGACGAGTCGGCCATCAAAACAGAAAAAAAACCAATTAATGCATGGCATTTAATCGTGGGATAGTTTTATTCGCGCGCGCGCGTAATTTTATTACAGCGAGAAGGAAAAAAAGTAAGAACGACGAGTTTGAAAGGGTTCGAAACCGGGCACAGGAGCCAATATACAAATCTCGAGGGGCTTCTTTTGGCTCGCCGACGACAAGATGCGCCGATGGCTTAAGTAGTACTTTTTGAGGAGGAATGGGTTTCGAATGAAATCTTCAAATTAGTCAACAAATGGATGCGAATTGAAGAAGAATAAGAAAAAAGAGTGGCGCTTGTTGGAAATGATTGAGGGATCGAAGCAGTTTCACAAATACTTTTTTTTCTTTTGGCCTCCTAAAAAAAAGAATGTTTTAAAAATTTCAAATTCGCCAAGATTATTCGTCAAGCAAAATTAATATTTTACACAATTCGTAGATCACAAAAATTCTCGATGGGGCGCGATTGCAGTGACATTATTAACTTGGACCGATTTCTGAGCGTATGTACATCCTGAAAATGGCATTTAGTGGATCTATGCTATCTTTAAGCATCCAAAAGCTCCTAGTTGTTATTTCGAGATATTAGATTTTGTTTAAAGGTGCATACCACAAAACGTCCTTCACTGAATTACAAATTCATCAAAAAGTTTTATTTAGTTCATGATTTTCTTATTTGCTTTGAAATCCTTCAACTTCGCCGTTCCATATAATTCCACACATCTTGATATCATTACTGATAAATCCGCATTAACAATAGTTCGCGGAGTTGAAAGTCAAGCCATAGATTGCTCAGGTGTCTAGTATTTTCTGAAAAGTTACGTCAAAGATGAAGCCTGAATTGTTGCAAAATATAATTTTTTTTGTTTTTCGCGAACCCCCAAAAAATTTTTGTCCGCATAGGATTTTTTTGATACCGTTCCAAAGCCTGAATTTTTAAGTAATATTGTCGAAGTCAAACGACTTGACGAAATTTAAAAAATTGTTCGCTATGTGCCAATGCGTCTCGAGACAGCGAAAAGTACGCGAAACTGCGTACATTGCATTATAGTGTAAGCACATTTAATATTCAGTCAACGATACATTTAAATCTGCACCCATTTCGCGAATTTGCCTATTTTCAGTCGTTCGACGCCGACAATAGGTTTTTTTTAATTGAACCATTGTTAAATAATAATTAAACATGGTCAAATAATAATTAAACATGGTATTGTCGGGGTCAAACGACTTGACGAAATTTTAAAAAATATTGGCTAATTGCCAGATTTCTCGAGGCGAAGAGAAGTGTATGCGGCATACACTCTGCAGCGTGTTTTTGGGCGCGTTATTTTTTGAGAATTTTTCTGTGTCTCTTTTTTTTTATTAGCCGGTTTCTTTTATTTTTGCTGTTTATTTTACATTTTTATAATCGCTGATTGATAGGCCTTATAGTTTAAAATTTTCATATATTTTATGGTTTTTTTTTAATTAATTTGACATTGTAAAAACTTATTCTTCATCATTTACCGTTTCCTAAATTTTAGTACATTTTAGGAAACACAATCATATTGAACAGGAGCCGAAGGACTTTGACAACTACTAAAGTTAACAAGACGGGTATTGATATTATTTTTATTTAAAATTGTCATTATTTCATCATTATAGTTGCAGCGACTTCAATGGCATCAAATATTGAACCCTTCGCGCAACCTCCAAGACAACCTCCAACGGACACAAAATTCTGAACAGTTTTCTTTTTAATTTTGTATTCAATGTGAAGTTATTAATAGTTTTAGGCGATCGGAATCAACGCTCATTTGGCTTTCGGTTATAAGTTTCAATTGTGCGGCGTCTTGGTGCATTTCGAGAATTCTCAATTAATCGGATGACTTTCCCCTTTGAACAATAATTTTCATACTATTTTTACGATAAATAAAACATTGTTGTGGTGCTCTTAAGATATTCGATAAATGTACGATTCTCTCGCTTGTTTAAGTAAATTCCGTTAGTTCCGCGAACTTTTACATACATGGAGGTCGACTCATTATAAGAATGCAAATGACAATGGGTATCAAAATTAATACACACATAACTAATGCCAAGAACCGCAATTCCCGCAAATACCATCCACATTTTTATAATTTTCGGCGGCTTCTCGTCATTCTCCAACGAATGAGATGTGTAGTTTTCGCCATTCATCTGAAAATTGGTGATAATATATTTATTATACATATGTGGTGATCAAAGAATGTCGAATAATGAACAAAACATCAATGGCGAAATTGTGGGGCATGCTAAATGGGACTCATAATTGGCTGCTGAAAACGGCACAAAATAGTACACAATATTGGATTAAGTGCCGTGAAAATTTCAGAAAAAAATCGGTTGTTTTCGAATTGCAAAAAAAAATTTCATTTATTTCTAACTTTCGGTCATCAAAAATGTGTCATTTTAAACAATTTTCAAAAATGGTCGAAATTTCGAAAATGCGTTACTCTAAAATGTGGTCGAAATGGTCGAAATTGCGCGCTAACAATTTATTTTTAATGTAAAAAAAATCGCTCACATTTTAAATTTAAAAAACGCAGAGAAAATCCATTCCAAGTAGTTGGATTATTCATTCAAATCGACATCTTCTTGAGGCGGAAGGAAATCCTAAACTCATTAATTAATTTAATGATGTCGCATTAAGTAAAGCTTACCAAGAGTCTTGTTCGAATGCAAGTGATCGGGATGATACCACATCGTCCACCCGTTGCCGGTGATCCTGGACGGCCATTATTGTCCCTTGTGTGAGGAACCACCTCAGCCTCCACCTGCAATTTTGGTTTTTGAATCCCGCATCCCGCAAAAAAACTTGATTCCACATACCTCCCCCCCCCACATTTTTAGAAAAAGTCGATCCCGCCCAGGTCTGACCTGCATCCCGATAAATCTTCCGGCATCGTCCCAGCAACTTCCTCCCCTGTCGCCTTTGAAGACACGGCTCGATCCCAAATATCGACATCTTGGGGTTATATCACTCGATATAATTCCCGTGCTGAATGAAATGTGCGAAGTGCTTCCGTGTATTACAGAGTAGCCCATCTGAAATGATTTCAGTGCAGATAATAATCAAAATTCACAAGTTGTAGTTAAAATACTTAGTTAAACTTACCAACAGATACTTCATTCCTCTGATAGGATTGACTGCATCCAACAATAAATCGCGATCGCAGAACTCGACGGCCTTTGATTGAAGGGCGACAAAATCGAGAGATTCGTCGATGAGAATTACCGACGTATCGACTACCACTTCATGGTTTTGATATGACGTCAGTGCGATTGAATCTCCTATTGAAATCGTATTATTCGCTTCGTGGCGGACAGTAATCGCAATATTCTTCGTCACAGGGATTGCAGATCTCTTCAAACTGTCTCCTCTTGTGAAAAACCACGCGTATCGGCGTATTTGAGATACTATATCTCCATCCACAGGTAGCCGTTCCGGCTCTTCATCTATCCTTTGTCTCTTTTTCGGGACTAAAATAAAAATTTAAATATGCACAATGAATATCAAACCTTCAAAACTTGAAATAGAAAAGAACTTAGAATATAAAAGAAGTTCATAATTAAGCAACTAGCTTAGGTTTCTAACGGTTCTAAAGACAGCCGTTTTTTAGGATCTGACGGGAGCTTTTTCAAAGATTTTAACGACACTAACAAGAGTTTCTGTAGTTATTGTTTCTGTAAACCGTTGTATTTTCTCTTTTGCAAGGAACCTCGGGTTTCTAACGATTCTAATAAGGACTATCGTTTGAACTAACTACCGTGGTTTCTAAATCTAACGGAAACACTTTAAAAGTTTCTAACGGCACTAAATTGAGTGTTTTGGTTTACGGTAGCATTGTAGAGGGGATATTGCAGTTTATGGTATCTAATGGGAAGCCTTTGAAAGATACTAACAAGGCTAACGAAATACCAAAGCTGTAGCTCTAAAAAAAACGACAGATTGTCAGGATGTCTCAAAACGTAAACGGTTGTCTTACTGACTAAGGATTAATAGTGGAGATCGATCATTAAATGCGCAATTTAAATCTGAGTTAAAGATTTAGTATTACGGAGGGGGGGGGGGTGGGGGCTAACCGGACCTACATCCATAGTTTGGCCCAACGGCGCTGCTGGTCGAGGCGGCATTTTCTCGGCTGACAGAACGATCTTCTCGGAATAAGACTTGAATGGCTGAAAAAGAAAGCAGTAAAATTAGCCATTCTCAATTTTTATGAGCCATATTTTTTACAGAACGATTCAAAAATTTCTACTAATATCAAAGCGTCTATACCTTTGTGTTTGACTCAGGGAAACAATGGCAATGGGGATTTGAAAGATCCAGGAAAGGTATGAAAATGATGGGAACATCCCAGAGGGCCCGCTGGTCAGTTTCCTACAAAAGCTCACCCGATCAAAGGCGATGAGGTTCTTCATCATTCTCCACATTGCAGAATTCACTCTTCCCCCGCATTTCGCATCTTCGATCGCTAGAATTTCCAGGATTTCCGCACACTTTTCGACGTCATCTGAATGGATTTGGCACAATTTGTCGACGACTTCTTGATACACATCCACCATTTTTTCGTCAACTGAAAGCAAACGATTTATAAAAAAACTGTAAACATATAAGATCAATTCAAGAGAGAGGGAAAGTAGGAAAAGTTGTTAACTAACTCAAAGTTAAGGAGAAAATAACCATGATGATCATGGATGGGAAATCACGAAATCAACGCGAACTACAGAAGAAAATGAAGTCTCCTTTCAATTCACAAAAGTTAATGGAAGAATCCGATATTGGCAGGTTCTCTCGTTCCTCTGCGTCTCTGCTCTCGCGTCACTCTCATCACCCTTCCACTCTCGCCCAACGGGTTTGCGTGTCGTGTGCGTCTAGTTCAACTGGAGCAAATGGAGCACAAGGCCAATTAGTAGTGGTTCTTAATGAGGTCTTGACGCGAATTCATTTCGAAATCTCTTAAACAGTTTATGGTACTATGTGCAGATTTCTCCAAAAATAACTCAAAAAGAGGTCAATCAAAAGAAAGAAACAAAAAATTCTAAGAAAACTATGCAGATTGAAAAACAATTAGTTTATAAAAGATATTTTTTTGAGTTTTCTTCCCAATCCTACATAATACAATTATATTTATAAATATAACCAGTGTATCTACCCGGGACAGGATTTCCCGGGAATTTCGTTTCCAGGGTTTATCCGGGAAATCCCGGGTCTCGTCCCGGTTTCGTCCCGCAACTACCCGGGATGAGCGGGTTCCCGGGAAACCCGGGAAAAAGTCTGCAAACACCGCGCGCGCAAACGCACACTCTTCGAATATTGCGTATTCTCGTTTTTTTTTTTTTAATTTAATGAATTTTCCTATTAAAAAAAATTCCAATGCTTAGAAAATGGCGTAGGAAGTCCCTATTTGGAATTTTTAAAATTTCGCAGAAAAATGGACACAATTGCAATGTGCAAATAACGATTTTTCCAAATTTTTCTAAGCATTGGAATCTTTTTAAAATAAGAAAATTCATTTAAAAAAATGACAATACGCAATATTCGAAGAGTGTGCGTTGTTTTTGCGCGGTGTTTGCACTTTTTCCCGGGAAATACAGTTTCAATGAGTCCCGGGTCCCGGGAACCCGGCCATTCCCGGGAAACTTCGTCCCGGGTAGACACACTGAATATAACCATATTGAATGCGATTGGCTTTACTAAGAATGAGCCAGATAGTAGAAGAGTGCTCTTCTTTTCTTCAACTCATATAAAAATGTTTTTGAAAAATACAATTATTGATAAAGGAGAAAAATTCATTCAGTCCAGTCCACATCAGAGTCCGGTGGCAATAAATCCTAAAATTCAAAAATTGTTTTCATGAAATTATGAGTTAATAGAACCTGAATGTGCCCGAATATATCACGCATCGCCACAATGCAGCAACGACCTCCTGATGCAGGAGATGCTGGTCGTCCTTTGTCATCTTTCGTGTGTGGTACCTTTTCTACCTCTATTTGCATTCCTATCAGTTGCCCGTTTTCATCCCAACAGCTGCCACCGCTATCTCCTTTGAATGAGCCGCTTGATCCCATATATCGCAATCTTCGAGTCGCATCACTAACGATAATTCCAGTTGAAAGCGACTGATGGCTTGTCTTTTCGTGAAGAATCGAGTATCCCATCTAAATAAGTGCATTTTTAGAAAACATTTAGTGAAAATACTTAAATCGATAAAAAATTACCAACAGGTATTGCATTCCCTTTCGAGGAATAGTTGCATTAGAAATTAGATCTTTATCACAAAGATCTGCTCCGTCCGATTCCAAGATTATTGCGTCCAGTTCCTCAATGATTTTCACAACATGAGTTGTAACTTTTCGCTGTTCGTCGGACCAAGAACGTATTACAATTTCATCTCCTAGACATAGCCAATTGAATTAAATAAACTCATAACTAACAAACCAATTTCGATTGATTTGTTATCTCCGTGACGAAAAGTTGCTGCAAGTCTTGGAGTCAACGGAATAGCACTTCTCTTGTAATTGTCCTTCTTTACATTGTAGTAGAGAGCGTATCGTCCAATCGAAGCAGCCAAATCACCATCAACAAGGATTTCTTGAGATTCTGGATCGATTTCCCGTTTCTTTAGATTTGTAACGCCTAGAATTGATAAATTATAAATATTTAAAATAAATCTTGAAATGTTGAAAAATCGATAAAAAGCTCAGGCAAATCAAATAAAGCATTTTGACAATCAATTATTCAATAATAAACTCTACTGTCGGCGTCAAACGACTTGACGAAATTTTAAAAAATATTGGCTAATTGCCAGATTTCTCGAGGCGAAGAGAAGTGTATGCGGCATACACTCGCGTGCAGCGTGTTTTTGCGCAGCGTCTTTTTGGGCGCGCTATTTTTTGAAAATTTTTCTATGTCTCATTTTTTTATTAGCCAGTTTCTTTTATTTTTACGGTTTATCTTATATTTTTATAATCGCTGATTGATAGGCCATATAGTTTAAAATTTTCATATATTTTATGGCATTTTTTTAAAAATTAATTTGGCATTGTTAAAACTTATTCTTCATCATTTTCCGTTTCCTAATTTTTAGTACATTTTAGGAAACACAATCATATTGAACAGGAGCCGAAGGACTTTGACAACTGCTAAAGTTAACAAGACGGGTATTGATATTATTATTATTTAAAATGCTCATTATTTCGTCATTATAGTTGTAGCGACTTCAATGGCATCAAATATTGGACCCTTCGCGCAACCTCGAAGACAACCTCCAACGGACACAAAATTCTGAACTATATGCTCGCCTCGGTACTTCACATCTTCATCAATACTAGGGAAAGGAAAAAAAAAATACTCAATGACTTCAAGCTTCTTCCCAAAAGTAAGTTATCATTTTTAATCTTTGTAGACTCAGTTTTCTTTTTAATTTTGTATTCAATGTGAAGTTATTAATAGTTTTAGGCGATCGGAATCAACGCTCATTTGGCTTTCGGTTATAAGTTTCAATCGTGCGGCGTCTTGGTGCATTTGGAGAATTCTCAATTAATCGGATGACTTTCCCCTTTAAACAATAATTTTCATACTATTTTTACGATAAATAAAACATTATTGTGGTGCTCCTAATTGTAAGATTTTCGATAAATGTATTATGCTCTCGCTTGTTTAAGTAAATGCCGTTAGTTCCGCGAACGTTTAAATATATATGGAGGTCGGCTCAATATAAAAATGTAAATGGCAATGGCTATCAGGATTAAAATACGCATAACATTTTTTTAATTAAGAAATCGAAAAAAAACCATTTAATATTTGGTCAGCGCGTAAATCTACCCGCTCGTAAATCTACACTGATTATGATATACTGAAGGGCACGCCCCCATCAAGTCGTTTGACGCCGACAATAAAATACTTTGAGAAAATCAAAAGTTTATTGATACGTTCTAAAACTTATTGAGAATCGCTAAACTTAAAAATATTTTTTAAAAATCTTATAAGATTTTCTAAAATTTATTGAGCAAATTCTAAATTATCTCAATAAATTCTAAAATCTTGCAATAAGCTAAAGTTGATTGAGAAAAATCTATCTCTAAAATCTATCTAAAATATTATAAATCTATCTAAAAATATATAAAAAATCTATCTAAAATATTATAGAGACACGTTAGTTTCTCAAAGAATCTCAAAATAATTTATTTGATTTACCTGAGTGTCAGGATGTCTCAAAACGTAAACGATCGTCTTACTGACTAAGGATTAAAAGTGGAGATCGATCATTAAATGCGCAATTTAAATCTGAGTTAAAGATTTAGTATTACGGAGGGGGGGGGGCTAACCGGACCTACATCCATAGTTTGGCCCAACGGCGCTGCTGGTCGAGGCGGCATTTTCTCGGCTGACAGAACGATCTTCTCGGAATAAGACTTGAATGGCTGAAAAAGAAAGCAGTAAAATTAGCCGTTCTCAATTTTTATGAGCCATATTTTTTACAGAAAGATTCAAAAATTTCTACTAATATCAAAGCGTCTATACCTTTGTGTTTGACTCAGGGAAACAATGGCAATGGGGATTTGAAAGATCCAGGAAAGGTATGAAACTGATGGGAACATCCCAGAGGTCCCGCTGGTCAGTTTCCTACAAAAGCTCACCCGATCAAAGGCGATGAGGTTCTTCATCATTCTCCACATTGCAGAATTCACTCTTCCCCCGCATTTCGCATCTTCGATCGCTAGAATTTCCAGGATTTCCGCACACTTTTCGTCATCTGAATGGATTTGGCACAATTTGTCGACGACTTCTTGATACACATCCACCATTTTTTCGTCAACTGAAAGCAAACGATTTATAAAAAAACTGTAAACATATAAGATCAATTCAAGAGAGAGGGAAAGTAGGAAAAGTTGTTAACTAACTCAAAGTTAAGGAGAAAATAACCATGATGATCATGGATGGGAAATCACGAAATCAACGCGAACTACAGAAGAAAATGAAGTCTCCTTTCAATTCACAAAAGTTAATGGAAGAATCCGATATTGGCAGGTTCTCTCGTTCCTCTGCGTCTCTGCTCTCGCGTCACTCTCATCACCCTTCCACTCTCGCCCAACGGGTTTGCGTGTCGTGTGCGTCTAGTTCAACTGGAGCAAATGGAGCACAAGGCCAATTAGTAGTGGTTCTTAATGAGGTCTTGACGCGAATTCATTTCGAAATCTCTTAAACAGTTTATGGTACTATGTGCAGATTTCTCCAAAAATAACTCAAAAAGAGGTCAATCAAAAGAAAGAAACAAAAAATTCTAAGAAAACTATGCAGATTGAAAAACAATTAGTTTATAAAAAATATTTTTTTGAGTTTTCTTCCCAATCCTACATAATACAATTATATTTATAAATATAACCAGTGTATCTACCCGGGACAGGATTTCCCGGGAATTTCGTTTCCAGGGTTTATCCGGGAAATCCCGGGTCTCGTCCCGGTTTCGTCCCGCAACTACCCGGGATGAGCGGGTTCCCGGGAAACCCGGGAAAAAGTCTGCAAACACCGCGCGCGCAAACGCACACTCTTCGAATATTGCTCAGCAAATCGCGCCGTAGAAACGGCGGTGAATAGCGAGTTTCGGTGAAACGGCGGTGGAACGATGGTTTACTAAACGCGCTAAACCGTGGGCTATGTGTAATATTAGTAGTGTCGTACAACCTTCTAAAAAAAACGAAAAATAATTTAAATTAATTTTCGATTTTCATTAAATTTCATTTAATGTTTTAATTAAATTTCAAAATGAAGATTTATTTAAATTAATTTTATGAATTTTTTAATTTGTAATTGTTGTAAGTCGGAAAACTCGAATTACAATTTAAAATTTATCTAAAGTAAGCGTTAGACAACAATAACGAACGAAGCGCAATTTAATTAGTTAACGGATAATAATAACAATAATGGCTAGTCGGGGGAATGGATAGTATGTGAATACAAATAATAATGAAGCAGCACGGTAGGAAAATATAAACAACAGCGAAAACCAATCAAGTAACTCGGGTCCGGGCCTAAAACAATCCAACAACTCAACTTCGTGTATTTGCGCGCCAACTCTGGTGTGTGTGTGTAAACACCGTGATATTCACCGTAACCGCAGGATTTAAATTGCTAATATCTTTCTTCATATTTTCTTGCTCCTCGCAACAGTAATTAATTAATTATAATGTATTGATTGTTTTAAAACCTTCTATTGGTTTTAAGATTTAATATAATTAATACTACATTCTTTTTAAATTTGAAAGTTTGATTTGATGAGAATGGTTTTTCCAGAACGTTCGTTTCAACATGAAAAGGAGTAGATTGACGAAAGAAGAGAATGGTATATCTGTGATCAGCATAAAGGAAAAAAAATTTTGTAGACGCGCGAATTCGGGGCTATGGAGTTCGTCTTTTACCTGTTGAAAACGTCAATGATGGTATTGAAGAAGAAACTGTAGATAATAAAAAACTTGTAATAAAATAAGTTCATGAAAATTAATGAATCGAGGTTATTTTAGGAAGGGGGAATTCGCGGGAAATTTTGCGGACGCTGGATATGACGACTGTATTCTTGTAATAAATAATATGAATGGCGAAAATTTATGAGTCGAGCTGGGTTTAGGATCGTCTGTTCACGGAAGGGTGCGACTATAACGGAACTGACGAGACCATGGAAATGCTGCCAAAAGATAATGTTTTCAGTGTTTGTCAGGAATGGAATAATGGTATGATTCTTGATTTATTGACACATTAATGCGGTTACCATATTTTTTCGATATCATAATGTAAAACCCTTTAACCGGTTAACCCTTTGATTGAAATTACTGGTTCCGGGAATTAATCGGCTTTATGAATGTTATTGTAGCAGAAAATAAATGTTATTCTGGTAGAAAATTAATTATAAAACGATTTCGAGAAAAATTAATAATTATCGACCCAACCCATTAAATGCAAAATATCAACGTTAGTCCACGGGAGACCAAAAGAAGGACGCATCCGCGTAAATCTACCCGCGTACAGCAGTCGCTGGACGCTGACTGTACCTAGCATTAAGACTCCGGAAACATTTCAGGAACGCGACATCTACGCATTCCAGGAAAAACTGATCGAAGATTATTGCCAACCAATATCAACAACGTTCTGTACGTCCTGTTTAGGAGAAATTCCCAGTGTCAGAATTTCTTGTTCGAATCAACAATGCAGTAATTATCAGTAAGCACTTCAGCGTAAAGGCAATTTATTAAAGTTTCGACTAAGGTGCAAGCCAGTGAAAGGTACGATTACGGAACCTATTAGGCTTGTGACATTCTCAATTCACAATCAATTGGCAAGAATATTGTCAAAGCAAATTGGAGAAATCGTCAAAACGCATGAATATCACCATCACATTCAGGTAATGAAAAATTCGCGGCTATATATATAATTGTATTGTAGGCTTCTGGAAAACCGTACGAAGATTACTCGAGTTTTCATATATCAAAACATTATGGAGATCACATTGAAACACTGGAAATGTTTTCGAATAACATATTGAAGGTTGTAGTTTCCTTAGCCATAGACGGATTTCGTCCATCAAATTGTAGCCGGTAATTATGTTTTGTTTAAATTTATCTCATTATACAACGTAGGGATGAAGTTGTGCCGATTTATATGAGAGTGGAAGGGGTAAAACGAAAAATCAAAGAGCAAGACGGTTCCGTGATCCTCGCAGCAATAATCCGATGTTTAAACGGAATGAATGCTCAAAATGCAAATATCGTCGGATCAAGGCATTGCTTTGTGGAATCATTTCGTTTGTATAATGCTTATTTTAGATTAATGCACGAAGTAGAATTTCTTAGAACTTCACCACTGCTTATACAATACGAAAGGGTCAAATATTCCGTCATGGTCGAGCCAGCTGTATCATTTTTGGATCTCAAGGCAAGCTTGTCTTGGTACATAATGAAACATTACGATATAGGGCATGCGTCAGATCTGTGGTCTTCCGAATTGGGCAAGTACACAGGGATGCACACTTTGCACGATCATTGGTTCGAAATCGGGTCGGCAAGCGGTTTCTTTTTTTCCGACATTCAATACCCTTCAAGAACTGCGAATGATGTAATGAATATGATGAGAGCTAGCGGAAAATTAAGTAAGCAATTCCCTTCAAACCTACATCTAAAATATGAATTGTTAGACATTCTGTCAATTCTTGCCAGCCCATCAAATCAACCGTTCGATGAACTTCATTACCTTTCCGAAGGGTTTTTGAAAAATTTATTGGAACAAATTTTTGGGCGCGGTTCAAATTTGCCTCGGTTGAAAATTTCGACTAGGGTGGTTCAGGCACTTTCATGTTCTCTGATTAATACCATAGATCCACCGGAAACGCCCTGCAGGTTTGCTAGCCCAGAAAGATTCTCGCGTGCGACCGGTTCAGAGATAAGAAAAGTGAGCAATTTTAAAGTTGGGACATTTGATTATATTTTTCAGTCAGTTCAGTTTACTCTTGCTGCGTTATCAATGACATTTAAGTTTCCTCGCTTCATGGAAACCACGTTTTTGGCTTGCTTGTTCATATTTAACAACTTGCTATATATGGCAAGGACCAAAGCTCATCTCTACGCAATCCAACAACTTTCGAATTTCATAAAAGGATATATTGGACATGAAAATAGCGAATTCTATACGCTTAAAATGCATGTAAGAAAATTGACTTGTTTAAAACAGAAGAATGGTAGCAATTCCAGCTGATTTTTGATCACTGTGTGGAGTTGATTCGTAGATACGGCAATTGTTCAACAACTTCAACTGCAAGTTTTGAAAAAACGCACTGCTACTTATCGTTAATGACTAATCAACGCTCAGTATCGATTGCGGATATGGCGAAAAAGTTTATAGCGGACAGTTATTTCACAACCTAAAAGAGGTAAATTCTTAATGTAAATCTCTTAAACTTGAATTTCTTCAGTTCGGATTCGACTTTACAGTTAAGTAGTGATATTGAATTTTCGAGGAATTATAGAATTACGAATACGTCTACAATTTCAACGTTATCACAGAAAGTGGCATCACACGGAGGACAAATTTAATTTTTTGCAGCCAAATGACTAAATAATTTTTTTTGTAATAAATTATTCCAGTTTTTCGCGAGTACTTTCAAAAAAACAATAAACGTGGTGAAATATGACAATAGTTTGAAAGTACTAAAACGAAGGCAGTACGACACTCCGCGCGTACGCGTGCAATTTCGGAGAAACGGCGGTGGAAAGTTGGAGGAACGAAAGTGTCTGTTCTCTTCACCGATCATCTGCCGCCGTTTTACTCGCTATTCACCGCCGTTTCTACGGCGCGATTTGCTGAGTGCGTATTCTCGTTTTTTTTTTTTTTAATTTAATGAATTTTCCTATTAAAAAAAATTCCAATGCTTAGAAAATGGCGTAGGAAGTCCCTATTTGGAATTTTTAAAATTTCGCAGAAAAATGGACACAATTGCAATGTGCAAATAACGATTTTTCCAAATTTTTCTAAGCATTGGAATCTTTTTAAAATAAGAAAATTCATTTAAAAAATGACAATACGCAATATTCGAAGAGTGTGCGTTGTTTTTGCGCGGTGTTTGCACTTTTTCCCGGGAAATACAGTTTCAATGAGTCCCGGGTCCCGGGAACCCGGCCATTCCCGGGAAACTTCGTCCCGGGTAGACACACTGAATATAACCATATTGAATGCGATTGGCTTTACTAAGAATGAGCCAGATAGTAGAAGAGTGCTCTTCTTTTCTTCAACTCATATAAAAATGTTTTTGAAAAATACAATTATTGATAAAGGAGAAAAATTCATTCAGTCCAGTCCACATCAGAGTCCGGTGGCAATAAATCCTAAAATTCAAAAATTGTTTTCATGAAATTATGAGTTAATAGAACCTGAATGTGCCCGAATATATCACGCATCGCCACAATGCAGCAACGACCTCCTGATGCAGGAGATGCTGGTCGTCCTTTGTCATCTTTCGTGTGTGGTACCTTTTCTACCTCTATTTGCATTCCTATCAGTTGCCCGTTTTCATCCCAACAGCTGCCACCGCTATCTCCTTTGAATGAGCCGCTTGATCCCATATATCGCAATCTTCGAGTCGCATCACTAACGATAATTCCAGTTGAAAGCGACTGATGGCTTGTCTTTTCATGAAGAATCGAATATCCCATCTAAATAAGTGCATTTTTATTAAAAATTTAGTGAAAATACTTCAAACGATAAAAAATTACCAGCAGGTATTGCATTCCCTTTCGAGGAATAGTTGCATTAGCAATTAGATCTTTATCACAAAACTCTACTCTGTCCGATTCCAAGATGATTGTGTCCAGTTCCTCAATGATTTTCACAACACGAGTTAAAGCTTTTAGCTGTTTGTCGGACCAAGAATGGATTATAATTTCATCTCCTAGACATAGCCAATTGAATGAAATAAACGCATAACTAACAAACCAATTTCGATAAATATGTTATCTCTGTGACGAAAAGTTGCCGCAAGTCTTGGAGTCAACGGAATTGCACTTCTCTTGTAATTGTCCATTACATAGTAGTAGAAAGCGTATCGTCTAATCGAAGCAGCCAAATCACCATCAACAGAGATTTCTTGAGATTCTGGATTGATTTTCCGTTTTCTCAGATTTGTAACGCCTAGAATTGATAAATTATAAATATTTAAAATAAATCTTGAAATGTTGAAAAATTGATAAAAAGCTCTCAGGCAAATCAAATAAAATATTTTGAGAATCAAATATTCAATAATAAACTCTAAAAAAATTTTGAGAAATTCTAAAGTTTATTGATACTTTCTAAAACTTATTGAGAATCGCTAAACTTATCATGCAATGAAAAAAATTTAAAAAAAATCAATTTTTTTCATTTGAATTCCCTATGCACGCACGACGAAAATTACAAAAAATTGACGGGTTTTATCGTAATTATATTATATATCGTAATTCTCCGCTCTTTATTTTCAAAGGCGCACGCGAAAAGTTCCGCGGGTTATGTCGCGAAGTCGGTACTGTATTTCTTATTTTTCATTCTGTGTGCTATTTTTCCGTATTTTTCGAAAACGTTGAAGAGGAAATGTGTAACGGATTGAAGAACGAGGTAAAAAACCAATTATTGGTGTAATTACTCCTAATTCGACAATATATGTCAATTTTTCGTCGTTTAGATACTAATTATCATGTGAAATAGGGATTTCTGTGTTGATTTGATGCAGACTTCGCTCGATGACGCTTCTGATGAACCTTCAGCGTTTATTAAAAAAAATACTTCTACAGATTTCAAAAAAAAAGTTTTAAACGCTCAACAAATAAAAAATTCGAATAAAAACAGCCATTAAAAAATTACAGTACCGACTTCGCGACGTGACACTGCGAAACTTTTCGCGTGCGACTTTGAAAATAAATAGCGGAGAATTACGATATATCGCGTCAATTTTTTGTATTTTCGACGTGCGTGCATAGGGAATTCAAATGAAAAAAATTGATTTTTTTAAAAAATTTTTTTTCATTGCATGAATAGGTCCATTAAAAATATTTTTCAAAATCTTATAAGATTTTCTAAAATTTATTGAGAAAATTCTAAATTATCTCAATAAATTCTAAAATCTTATAATAATTTTAAATCTTATAATAGGATTAAAAGTGGAGACCGATCATTAAATGCGCAATTTAAATCGAAGTTAAAGATTTAGTATTACGAGGAGGAGGGAGGAGGGGGGGGGTTAACCGGACCTACATCCATAGTTTGACCCAACGGCGCTGGTGGTCGAGACGGTCGGCTTTTTTTTATCGGCTGACAGAACGAGCTTCTCGGAATAAGACTTGAATGGCTGAAAAAGAAAGCAGTAAAATTAGCCATTCTCAATTTTTATGAGCCATTTTTTTACAGAAACGATTCAAAAATTGCTACTAATTCAAAGCATCCATACCTTTGTGATTGACTCAAGGAAATAATAGCAATGAGGAGTTGAAAGATCCAGGAAGGGTATGAAAATGATGGGATCATCCCAGAGGGCCCGCTGGTTAGTTTCGTACAAAAGCTCACCTGATCAAAGGCGATGAGGTTCTTCAGCATTCTCCACTTTGCAGAATTCACTCTTCTCCCGCATTTCGCATCTTCGATCGCTAGAATGTCCAGGATTTCCGTACACTTTTCGACGTCATCTGCATGGATTTGGCACAATTTGTCAACGACTTCTTGATACGCATCCACCATTTTTTCGTCAACTGAAAGCAATTTATTTAAAAAACTGTAAACATATAAGATTAATTCAAGAGAGAGGGAAAATATAAAAAGTTGTTAACTAACTCAAAGATAAGGAGAAAATAACAATGATGATCACGGATGGGAAATCACGAAATCAACGCGAACTACAGAAGAAAATGAAGTCTCCTTTCAATTCACAAAAGTTAATGGAAGAATCCGATATTGGCAGGTTCTCTCGTTCCTCTGCGTCTCTGCTCACGCGTCACTCTCATCACCCTTCCAGAGGAAATGAGTAACAGATTGAAGAACGTGGAAAAAATACAATTATTGGTATAAGTACTCCTAATTTGACAACATATGTCTGCAGACTTCGCTCGATGACGCTTCTGATGAACCTTTGGCGTTGATTAAACAAGATACTTTTATAGATTTTCAAAAAAAAAACGTTTTAAACGCTCAAAAAGTAAAATTTCGAAAAAAAAAACAGCCATTAAAAAAATACAGTACCGACATCGTGACGTGACCCGCGAAACTTTTCGCGTGCGCCTTTAAAAATAAATAGCGGAGAATTACGATATATCGCGTCAACTTTTTGTAATTTTCGACGTGGGGAAATTCAAATGAAAAAAATTGATTTTTTTTTATTTTTTTCGTTTCATGAATAGGTTCATAACTCTCATGAATTCCATAGCTTGGGGGGGGGTATTTCTGAGTTTACATCCTGAAAATAAATATCCAAAAGCTCCTAGTTGTTATTTCGAGATATTAGATTTTGTTTAAAGGTGCATACCACAAAACGTCCTTCACTGAATTACAAATTCATCAAAAAGTTTTATTTAGATAATCGTTCATGATTTTCTTATTTGCTTTGAAATCCTTCAACTTCGCCGTTCCATATAATTCCACACATCTTGATATCATTACTGATAAATCCGCATTAACAATAGTTCGCGGAGTTGAAAGTCAAGCCATAGATTGTTCAGGTGTCTAGAATTTTCTGAAAAGTTACGTCAAAAATGAAGCCTGAATTGTTGCAAAATAATTATTTTTTGTTTTTCGCGAACCCACAAAAATTTTTGTCCGCATAGGTTTTTTTGATACCGTTCCAAAGCCTGAATTTTTAAATAATAGCTTTTTTTTTAATTGAACCATTGTTAAATAATAATCAAACATGGTTAAATGAAACTTTTCGAGTAGGAAATACTTGATCCGATGAAAAGAAGAGCACTCTTTTACTATCTGGCTCATTTCTAGTAAAGTCGATCGCATTCAATATGATTATATTTATTAATATTATGGTATTATGCAGGACTTGGGAAGATAAATCAAAAAAAACTTTTTTAAAACTAATTGTTTTTCAATCTGCATAGTTTTCTTAGAATTTTTGATTGTTTCTTTCTTTTGATTGACCTCTTTTTGTTTATTTTTGGAGAAATCTGCACATAGTACCATAAACTGTTTAAGAGATTTCGAAATGAATTCGCGTCAAGACCTCGTCAGGCACCAATTCAAAATCAATTTGTTTTATTAACCAATCTTCTCTTCATTTTTGTGTTTGCCGTTATTCATATGCTTTGAAAAACTTCTCCGCCTATTTTTATTTTCGGCATTTGCAAAAAGTTAACTCGATTTTTAAGCTGCTTGAAAGACAAACAACAAAAAAAAAACAACATTTTTGCCTAAAAAATATTACTGAAAATTGAAAAGTGGTGGGTTTTGCCACGTGGATTCTAAGGTAAGATTTAAGCAGAATCTATAAACTGTTTCTGAAAAATATATCAATTTAAAAGCGCACGCGGTTTTTTTGCAAGGTCTCAACAAATATGGTAGTCGCATTATTTTTTGAATGAAACATTCTAAATCCTTTTCGTTTTCAGCTTGCGTCAGCGGTTTCTCATATTTAGAATTACTTTCCTAAAGTCAGAAAAGAATTTTTGATTCGAATACCCAAAATTCAAGGTTCACTGATGGGAGTTTTCGCATCAAAAATTTTATTCATAAAGATTCAGAAATCACTTGAATCAATTCGTACATGTGAAACAAATCATGTGGAATTGCAATAGTTTCAAATATCAAATTTCTGTCTGTTCCTTTAAATTGCTTGAATAGCCATGACAAAAAAAGCTATAAATAGAAGACGAGTTCAATTAACTTGAATTTCTAGTGTACCGCACTATTTTTTTTCCATCAAATTCAAAAATTGTAATCCAAAATTCTTTAATTTATTGTAGGATTTCAAAATCTCACAATTGAAAATTCGGCATTTTAATACACTGAAATTGCCCTTTGTTTTCACTACATCGCATATTTTTTCTCACTACTAATTATCGTCATTGTTCCATTTTTAGAATTCACCTGGAATCGATCTGAAAATTTCATGTCGAAAACATGAAATGAGGATACGGTCAATTTATTGCACAAAAAATACTTGTTCAAATCGAATTGTTTTCTGGCCGCCAATTTTTTGACATTTCCTTTTTCCGGTAGATCAAATAAGAGAGCACGTTGATGCCTGCCAATGACAGATTTTCGTCGAAAAATCTGCCAGTGTCAGCGGAATTTTCGTTTTTGTTTTCCCCGAGAAACATCGAATACCACTTTTCTCATTTTCCTCTAATTACCCTAACTCCCAACTCCACACCCAAATAATCCTTGAAAGGCTTAATTGAGCTGCTCTTGGTTTTTTTTTTGTTATTCAATTCATGTTTTTTGCTCCCAGCCAGCCCATTTCATTATTATTATTATTATTATTATTATTATTATTATTATTATGCCGTTTACCATATTCTCGTGTGTAATAACTCATCATGCCACTGAAAGCGCAACATCGACGCTGTTAATCCAATCAAACTAGAAATAGACAAGTTTTGTTTGGGATTATTCGAAGTTCTCCCAACGTACTGATCTTCGTCCGTATATGGAGAAATCGTATAATATTATAATTAGTACTAAACGTATTGCTCTGAAGTACTAAGAATTCATCATTTCTTTTATTTGGAGAATTTGATTATGAAAGGATTACGGTAGCGGTGGAGTTGCTCATATGTGATCGAAATTTCTGATTATTATTTTAAAAAATAATGATGAATGCATTGGTAATTAGTGGGCATTTGCTGAAAATAAGATAATTTTGGATTTCGCGTATGGAAGTTGAATGCCGCGGACAATGCAGGTGATATTCGCCAGATTCAACAAAGACCCAGCGTTTTATGATATTGTGGTCTCGCAACGATTTTAAATCACATTTTTTGGATCCTCAAAAACATTTCAATATTTTGGTCTTCAAACAATTTTCGTGGACCACTTTGTGGTTCGTGCTGTTGAAAATTTCTTTAAATTTGAATAAAATTTCCAAAAAAAAAATCATAAGAAGCCATAGGTTTTTTTTTCTCTCCGAGGAAATTGATTTTTGTTGTTTTGCTATGTGGGGCGCCATAAAATTGAAATTTCGACCTTAGCCGGCTGGGGGCTTCATGAAAACCCATTTTGTGGCGAATTATTCATCTCATCGGATTCCAATTAAGCAGCAACGTTTTCGATTCGAAAAAAAATTATTAGGTGTGTGTGTGTGTGTATTTTTTTTTGTCGGTCTTGCCGGCCGTCAATGTTCAACAAAATCCAATTTCCCCCCAAACGTGTCTTAACAATTGCCTTTTGTCGTTTGAGTTTTAAGTGTGCCGGCTCACCGACATATTCCTTGAACAAGTGTAATGACCAAAAATGAAGCTCAATCAACCAGAAGAGCCATTCAACCCCGAACGCACTTCATTTTTTTTTGCTTCAGTTTGTTTTCATTTGGAAATGTCCGCAGTTTTCTTTAATTATATCCAAAGAGTCTTGACTGGCCGCAAATTTCTTTTCGACTTTGAATTCCAATAAGCGGTTTTGCTTGAAATGCTCCCCGCCCCTCCCAAATATGGAAAAAAAAGGCAATAAACTGGAAAATTTTAGGAATTCGAAAACAACCGATTTTTTTTCTGTAATTTTCACGGCACTTAATCCAATATTGTGTACTATTTTGTGCAGTTTTCAGCAGCCAATTATGAGTCCCATTTAACATGCCCCACAATTTCGCCATTGATATTTTGTTCATTATTCGACATTCTTTGATCACCATATATGTATAATAAATATATTATCACCAATTTTCAGATGAATGGCGAAAACTACACATCTCATTCATTGGAGAATGACGAGAAGCCGCCGAAAATTATAAAAATGTGGATGGTATTTGCGGGAATTGCGGTTCTTGGCATTATCCTCAACCTAGGTCTTCTCATTCGCCGAAAATTCACCATGTAAGTCAATTCGTTTCGATATACACGGATGTATTCTTGAGAAAGAAGGTAAATGAAATTTGACGAACGTTGCAAATGAACGTTTCTCTCTTTTTTTTTTGGAATTGCCGAATAAAAAAACTCAATTTCTCACACGTTTTAGGACGTTCTTTGAAGTTGAGAAGGATTTTCATAAAGGAACCAATAATAGTTCTCAAACGGCAACACTCATTGTTCTATGAAAGGTTTTCTTGGTAGAAAGAATTTGAAATATAATTTTTGTGATGTCCTGGACTGGTTTTTGACGTTAAAATAAAATGACGAATAACGAAAATTAATATTTCAATCGAAAAAAAAAACAACTTCTTTAGCGTCAAAAATTAATCAATTTTCAAAATTATTTTATGCGTAATGGCCGTGGACTATCTTTAAGACAAAGTTCGCGGTCATTAATTTTATATTTTATTAAAAATTCACAGAAAATCAGGAATATTAAAAAAAAAAAAAAAAAAGAAAATCAATATTCTATTCTTATATCAAATTCCTTGGAATCAAACTCGATACACCTCTTTTTTCAAAGTCAAGCCACTTGCCAAAGATTGGTCATCCTATTGTGGTCGCAAAATCAACTTCTTTAGCGTCAAAAATTAATCAATTTTCAAGATTATTTTAGTTGTAATGGCCGTGGACTAACTTTTAGACAAAGTTCGCGGTCATTTAATATGTTATAAAAAATTCACAGAAAATCATGTATCTTAAAAAAAAAGTGTAAATTAGATTAAATGAGTATTTTATTCTTATATCAAATTCCTTGGAATCATACACTTTTTTTTTTCAAAATCAAGCCGCCACTTGTCAAAAATTGGTCATCCTATTGTGGTCATTTTTACGGCGACAAAATTTAATAATACTCGATTCCCATTCATTCTTTGCAGGCATCGCAAATCGTCAACGACACGCTCGTCGCTTTTCCTGCTCGGCACGATGGCCGCCGCCGACACCCTCTGCCTATTCTCGTTGCTCTTCCTTATTTGCCTCCGATTTTTCGCGCTAGAAAACCATCCGCATTTCCTGACATTTGTATGCAAGGTCGGTGAATATCAAGGAAGTGTTTTGAGTGTGAAAATAAAACAAGGAAGCATGTTGTCTGGAAGTTGTGGCAGGCGCCGCCGAGTTTCGGATGCCAGTTTATTTCTGTCAAAATTTCCGGTTTCGATATTCTTCTAGATATTCCTGGAAGAAATAATCCAATTGGCGGCCAGAAACGATTAAAAGAAGGGGGATAAATGGAGAAGCAAGAATGATATAAATTAGTTCCCATATATCGAATAATTAGCTTTCACACAATTAAACGATTTAATGATTTCGAGAAAACCTTCGATACATGTGATTCTGAGACTTCTTCAAATTTCAGCTTAACGTCTTTGTAATGCACACAACCTCATCATTCTCAATTTGGTGCTGGTTGGTCCTATCAGCCGTTCGTTATATGGCTGTCTATCGTCCCTACGCTCACTTGAAAATGAATAAAGAGCCAACACTTGCGGTGGTATGATTTGCAATTCGTCGTAATACATCAAGATCTTATCTTGCAGCTCGCCGTTGCAATATTTTGTTGCGTTTCTGAAGTTTGGGTGCTTTGGGACATAGAGTATGACAATACTCATAAATATGAGAGATTAACAGGAATGTTGATTTTGTGAATTTTGAAATTTTTAGCGTGTGGCGGCCCGCCGACCGAAATGAGCAGACGGCTGCAAATATTTGAAATTATTATCTCATATTTCTTGCCAGTGGTCATTATAACCATATTAGATTTGAAGGTATGTTAGAAAGTAAGAAATTAGGAAAAAATTTAAACCTGAAACTTAAAACACTTCATCAAGAATTTCATGTACTGTATTTAATATATTCTGCATTCACCGTGTCGACATACCACAGAATATTAAATAAATCCACTTATTTTTCAATTTTCTTTATTTATTTTCAAATTTTACGTAGTCATCTAGCAAAAAATACTCAAAATAAAAAATTAGAAAAATTTTTGTTTCAGGTGATATTATGCAGAGCGGTCTGGTTTTCAACAAGTCCAAAGCGCAGCCACAAAGCCGCCAAACAAAAGGCAAGCGTATCAGAAGGAGTAGTCATATGTAAACTTATTTCGAACTTATACAAAATATTTAATTGAGTTTTAGCCCCGGAAGCTAGTATGAAGCTCTCCAGCGATAACAAGAACATGTCAAGGGCGCGATCCACAAACGATCTGAACAGCTCATCAAGGTATAATTGTTGTCCAATATATTCCTATTTTAAGATATATTTTTTCAGATTCAAACGACGCCAACAAATGAAAGTGCTTCGCCGATGCCTTTGCATCACAATATTCGACCTATCCATGAATTTGCCATCGTACTTGCTTCGTCTTTATCTGTCACTTGTCCCCGAAAACCTGGTGATTGATTGGAGAACGATCGGCGTGGTTGAAGAAATTTCGCAAGTCATGTATTTTGCACAAGTGAGTTCAAGAGAACACCTGATTTATTTTTATCGTCACAACTCACAAGCGTGTTGTTTCGCTGTAAAGTGGCTGGCGAGACCGCGTGAGGAAGGTGATGATCAGGAGGTGCCCTATTTTACGATTCTGATCTTTAATCTAAAAAAAATTCTGAAGTATGGAAATTATTAGATAAAAATTTGAGTGGAAAATTCTCCATCTTGCTCAAATTTTTTTGGAAGTTTCGTCTTTATGCATACTAATTTTCCCCTTAAATGGTAAACTGCGAGTTTAATAATGGGCTTTTTGTGAATTTAAAATTCTACACACGGCATTAGAAATATTAAGCCAATTTTTCGAATGAACTATTGTCTCATCTTCCCGACATATGTCTTTTTTTCTATCCGCTAGACCAAGTGTAATTTTTTTTGCAGTTCGCTCTCAATGCTGTCTACCTAGTCTGTATCATTTACGACAACCCACGCAAACGGCATAAAGTGAGGAAAATGCCATCTACGCAAAAAACCGAACAAGCTTTTCAGGCTCCGAGTACACAACTAAGCGCTGCCACGTTTACCCCGCGCGCGAGCTGTCGGCGAAGTCTTCATCGGGTTCCGAGCTTCATATAATCTACGAGTTTCACTTCAATCGTATTTGTACATAAAATGGATTGTTATTGCATGATTCGTCGTAATCAGTTAGTTATTCTACCTTGTCTGCCAATTGCTAAGTGCGTTATGTGACCTCGTGGGGGGGGGGGGATTTGGTTGTTGTAGGAGATGGGCCCGGCCCCCTATCAAACGTGTTCGCTTCTCCGCGTCTCTAAACGTTCGATGGACTACTCCGCGGGCGGGGTCGTATGACGAGAATTCAGAATTTTCTGGAATGGGGAGATAGGATCGGCATGGGGATGATGAATCGGATAGAGATAACCATCGATGACATCGCCCCACCCCACTCTTCATCATTCGATATGAATTGCTCATTCGGCAGAACTGCTTGCCTTCGGGATTAGTCGGCGTCATTTTCGAATCATTTCTGCTTAGCTGTTGGTTGTATCGTTGTCGCTTCAAATATTGACTTTATTCGTCGTTACATGATGTTTTTCCTTGGCAAAAAAAACTATATTATGATCTAGATTCCTTTAATTTCCTAGCATTAATTCGGAAAATTTAAAATAAAATGCTTAACGATGAATGTTTCAAGTTTGAAATTCTCTAGAATTCCTCTTGATTCATTCCATAGCATTTTATTAATTCACCTCGAGACCAAACAAACATGGAAACTGTTTGAACTTGAGTGATTAGGAAAACAAAGTGTAGGAAATCTGAAGTTTTTTTTTTTTTAAATCGTTTTTTGATTGCCATTATTCTTTGCTCTATGCACATTTCAAAAATAGTACCAATTCGTAGGCTTGGTTTGTGCAAACAATAATGAAACATTATTGTTATTTTTTGATCTCTTTGCCGGTTCATTTGTAGGCGGGCAGAGGCGCCAAATTTCTATAAAATGAGAGCCCCACTAATAGTGGACATCCTGCGCTTGTTATTCGAAAACCCCCTTTTTTAATGGTCATCTGAAAATTGTTCCATTTTCAGCCAATTCTAATAAACATGCGTGTTCTTATTTTGCTAGCGCTCTTCGCCACCGTCGTCGTCGCCTTCAACATCTTCAAGGAGACCAATGATGAGCAGCTTTTGGTTGGAATTTGATTCAATGAAAATACTAAGCTAACTGTGATCGTATTTCAGAGCCGTGTTATTCGATCCGATAAGGATGAGGTTGAGGTGTCGAAGGAGTCTGATAAGAAGGAAGAGGAGAAGAAGGATGATGAGAAGAAGGAAGAGAAGAAGAAGGAAGAGAAGGATGATGATGATGATGACGACGATGATGCGGATAGCAGCGAATCCGATGAGAAGAAGAAATCCAAAAAGGAAGATAAAGAGAAGAGTGATAGCAGCGATAGCGAGGAAAGTCGCGAGGTTTCGAAATTTTCAATTCCCAAATTAAGCCACATCTTTTTTTTTCAGAAGAGCAAGCGCTCTACCACCAAACCTTCTGACAAGTCCTCATCTTCTGAGGAAGAAAAAGACGAGGTAGAAGCTTCCGGAGAAAAGATCACCGTAGCCACCACCACCATTGAGAAGAAGGACAAAGAGGAAGAGGAAGGCTCCGGTGAAGGATCAGGTGCCAGCAATTAAACAAAATACATTTCGTACATTTTTTTGTAAATATTTTGAATATTTTGTACCCCTTTTAAGCTCAAAGAGCAAATAATAAACGCATTTTACTAGCCTATTATTTACAAAAACAAGGAAAGTAAAACAAATTATGGAATTACGCGGTTCGTTTAATGGCATCACGAAGCAACTTCGGAGGCTCTTTTCCTTCAATCAGGTCGTCGATAAGCCTCGCAATGATTCGATCAATGTCGGTTTGAATATAGGCCATCTGGACGAATCCACTATCAATTGCTTTAAGGAATCGAATTGTCAAAGAATCTCCATAGATTGCTTTACCTGCGGTCGTGTCGGTTTTTTCAACTCCAGCGTGACAAATGTTCAGTCGTTGGGCGACATAGTCATCAATTCTTGCAATCTAAAGAGCACACGATTCCAATTAATTTCATTAAAATGTCAGCCAAACCCTGGAAAGAGCCAATCCGCGATTCTCAATTACATAAGCCTGCGACTCGTAGTTTTCAAGCTCGCTTCCTCGAAGTTCCCGGACTTCGACTTCAAGACCAAGAGCTTCATCAAGGTAGGCACCTAAAAACAATTACTTTTTGAGTTGGATCTTGTCGCAAATCAATACCAATTCGCACGTTTGCTTCATTCACAAGCATTTCAATTTCTTCGGAAGTTTGTGTCATATTCAGAATGCAGTGTTTCATTCGTTGTCTCGAGTGGATCAAATCAATTTCATTTTTCTTTTGCGTATAGCCAGCGCCAGCACATTGCATACTAATCGGCCACTGATTGTTCTCGGTGAATTGGATTTTGATGAATGGGGTTACCATCGAAGCCAGCGAATTTCCAACTAAAACACAAACATGTTTTTTTTTATTAATTTGCTTGAATTGTCTTAAAGTACCCAAATATGTTAGTGGGAAATGAGTCGATCCATCAGAAAATGAGAGATATTTCTTTTTGTCGACGTTCAGCGCTTCAAGAATTGCAGACCGCGCGAAATACGAAGGGCTCATTTGGTGACAAAACGAGAAAAGCTCGATTAATTGTTGCCTATAATACAAATAGATTAAATTTTTTAAAGAGAAAATCGAAAAACTTGATCATTTTCTGAACAGTCGCCGGGAATCCAACCAAATGCACAACGTGATTGATTTTGTCGATTCGCATCAAACCCTGCTGAGCTAGATATTGAGCATGTTCTAGAATATTAGAATCGATGAAGAATTTTTGAATATCCAATACTTGAAGATTTTAGAATTGTCGTTGGCTTCGTTCCAATATGATTGATAAAATTTGGAAGAGCTAATGCATTAAGCAAACCGTCCTTCTTTTCCCGCATATTCCTTTTTAAAATGTTTGAAGCCTCCTAAAAATTGCATCTTTATATATTTTTTTTTCAATATTCAATATCACCTTATCTGTTATATCCTTCCATTGTTTGTAAATGCTGAACCATTCATTGTAATCCATTTTCACTTTTTCCAAGTCTATTTTCAGATTTCTCGAGTCAATCGAGTATTTTAAGCGTTCCTCTTGTTCAAACACTTTCCTGAATTGATATCATTAAAAAAACAGAAAAAAATCGAAATTTCCCATTTTTCATAGGGAAAGTGAACATTTTTCGGAATCACTTTTTTCTTTGTATTTTCTCATAGCGGAATCGCTCCACTTAATATCAATTTATACGCAAAATCTCCTTTTTACTTATTCGTCACAGAACTATTCATATATTTTTTTAATTTTTTTAATTCATAAAGATTAAAAAAATGTTTTAGGTATGATTAATCAGAGCGTTTACTGGATGCCCAGAGCCAATCGGATTTAGCTTCGAACACGATCTGCCGCAAAATTCCGGATAATATGTATAGTAAAGTTGTAGTATTAATGTTTCGAATTTTGGGATGTTCGTCAGTTCGGTTCCAATTTGATTGAGTCTTCTAATTTTATGATTTTAAAAATTTGGTGTTCAACTTTAACATTTACAATAATGCTATTTTTTCAAAAATAAAATAAAAATTTGAATATAATTAAATGAAACAATTTGGTCCAAAATTCATAATGGTACCTCAAATCCACAACCGGATCAACGACGTGAACATCGGCCCCGCCGACAAACCTAGCCGCAAGATGTGACATTTGGCAAACCCGCTGACGCGACATCATCTAGAAAATATTTCAGAAAATTCTGCAAATTTTCACAATCTTCAAGTAATTCAAGAACCTCTGTAACTATTATGAACCACACAAGTGCTTCAAATTCTTGGTAGCATTGTCTTTATTTACACATTTCAGCACTTCAATTTAGCATAGTCATGGGTTTAAAAAAAATGAAGGTTACCAATAATTACTGTGAAAAGAAATGCACGTCTAGAAATTTCTGAAGGAAAACCGCAATTTTGAGAATCTGAACGGCAGAAAAAATGCTAACAAAACGATGTACAACAATTTACACTAAAATATAAGATAATTTACAATTTTAACACAACAAAAAACGATGAACAAATCAATCAGATAATTTAAATTTTTAACATTTGTACATTATTTAGCAAAAAAGCAAAACAATTTACAGCGGAATGCAATGCTACCAAGTGAGTGTTTGTGATGATTCAATGTTTCTTCGAATACAAATACTCATCTTGTTCGTCGCATCTGAAATATCAACTGCTAATTTTTTAGGCTGTTTCGCTTGCACAAACTCGTCAAAGACATCGCGTTCGTAATCATAATCCAAATCATCAAGATCATATCCGTCGTCGTATCCGGAGAACTTGCGCGATGAGCATCCGGATATTCCGCGCGAGCGCTGCTTCTTCAACGCCTTCGTCTGGTTTCCGACCTTCGCCTTCTTGGTGACATCGTCGGTCGCTGAAAACCGTAAAATTTTTAATCTAATTTAGTCGGAAGTTTTAAAAGATGTTACATCAAATATCGGATTTAATCTTTTAATATCATATTGGATAAGGATATACTATATTAGTATAGTGCAATCCGATTGCAAGCACTCTTTAATTCGAGAGAATTCAAAACTTACAATTATCACATTTTAGCTATTTTCAATCATTAAAAAATTGAAGGAACAAACGCCACTTGTTTATTTCTTACAATATATAAAAAATAAACATACACTTGGAACGACCATTGGTGATCGGAGCGGCGATCGCGCCATCCGTTTTCACCTTGGCCGCTTCGAGCGCATTAGCAGCGGCTTTCTTCTGCGAAATCAGCGAGTTTTCATCAATGGCGAATGCTGGGTCCTTCTTGGCGAGCTCTTTCTCGGCTTGGATCTCCGGATCACTGTCGTAATCCAATGGACGCGAAATTGGAAGTGGCATGGTTGAAAAGTTCTAAATTAAGTGCACGCATTAGGAAACACACAATTTTTGAAAACAGTTCAAATAGATAATTGTGGTGATAACCTGCGAAATCAAATCACATGATTGGAGGGGAGTGTTTATTAATAAAACGTCTATGATATACACTAATTGACCCGAGGTAAACAAAAGTTTTTTTAGTTGATAATTTATAATCATAAAATATGACACAAATAAATAAGTACAATTCAGGTGTGGTATGGAGGCCGCGTGTTTCGAATTCCGTATTCTGATAGCACGCCGTCAAGAAGCTCCTCGGTCAACGTGAATTTCGTCTCCTTGGTCCCTTTCTTCGTCTGACCGAGACCCTTCATTCGAGCCTGAATAATGCTATTTTTATTCAGCCATTTTCTCTGAAAATTCTTACGTTTTGCATCGCGTCCAAAATGATGTCGGATACTTGCTTCTGTGCAGCTAACGCGATCAAACTGTATTTAAATTATTCGAAATCGTTAAAACGACTGTATTTACCGGGCGACTCTTGGATCAGTGCCTTCAACACCGCTAGATTTTAAGAAGTGCAAAGTTACAGAATCTGGAATCGTCGGCGGGTAGTCGGCGAGCTGGCGGATGAAATCGCGTACTTCATCTTGATGCTCATTTTTGGGCTTCTCCATTTGCTGCTGAACGAACTGTTGTTGCACGGCCGACAATGGCCGATGAAGTGTTGATCTAATTGTCTGAACGGACGGCTCTGGTGTGAAGTTCGACATATTCATAATTCTCTGTAAGCGACATTTTTCATAATCATTGTGTGATAATCAGCGTTACGTGCCTGATTTGAGCCAGAAGAGCCCTCCATGTTGTGCGCTTCTTCTAATGGTCGGTCCATAGGTTGCATGACAACTGAAATAAACGTTTCAACTGAATAGGGCATATTCACAAAATAATTTGATGGGAAAACAGACGAAAACGGCTTTGAATAAAGAAAATGCCACAAAAAACAACAAAAGCGAAATTTTGAACGAGAGATTGGGCAGAATTTGTGAGACGACGCTTGGAGAGAAGCACGTGCGCGTTCGAGACACGAAGAGGACACCGATTTAAACAGAAAATTTTGACGGCCGCCGCAACACAACTCGGCCAGCGCGAAACTCGGCCAGTTTGTGTTTACTAGAACTTTCGCGAAATTTACGAACCGTTCGTAGCAAATACGATAAAGTACTATGCTAAAGGGAAAATGGAAACAAACCGATATTAATACAAAGCAACATGCAGAAAATGTTTTCAATCGCACTTTGCATTTGTGAATGGCCTAACATTTTCTAAGGCCATGTTGCGCCATATATATGTGGAAATTTCAGGTGAAGTTCGAGTTTTTTCGCCGAATGGTGGAGAGCTAATGTAGAACGTCAGGCTGCTCTCTCGGACGATACACATAATGTTTTTTCGAAAAAGAAGACCATAAATTAAAATTGCTCAAGTAGGACTGCATGTAATAACGGCTGTGCAAACTAAGGAAGTGTGAAGACAGCCAACGATTTTCTCACAAGTTAATAAAATTGTTTGCCCACTTAACTCAAATACCAATTAATAATTCTTAATTTTTCAATTCAAATCGGATTTGAACAATTAAAAAATTTGAGATTTTGAAAATGTGTTTAAGATAAAGAAAATAAATTATGGGACAAGAGTGAAAATCGGTGTTTTAAAAAACCGATCATGTAATATTTGCTGTTAATATTTTACTTGTGAATGTACTCTGATCATTTTTTAGCAATGCAACTTGCGTGTCAGTCAACCACACTCATTGTCGGTCCGTGTGGACAAGGTAACAGTACTCTTGCAAAAAACATTGTTATTCAACGAAACAACGATTTCAACGTCGATGATAGTCGTGTGTGCTCCTGGAATTATGATACGTTTGAAAGTGTTCCACTCGTGCTGCGCAATCGTAGATGTCATGTTGAGAGAAGGACTTCCGGAAATTGAAGAGTTGAAAAAATACAAAAATAAGCAGGTGCTTATTATAATTGACGATCTAATTACTAAAATCGATCAAAACAGCGTTATGGAACGCCAAGTGTCGGTTTTGGCACATCACTATACTCTTCCAACTTCACACGATATTCTACTCAAAAGTGATTCGAAATCTGCGTCTTAAGGCAAATTCTACGGAGAAGATTGGAAAATTGTCGGATCCGATTGGTTATTGTTCAGTGCGGGAATGGAGGGTACGCGTAAACCCCGGCCTCGTGGGCCATATTCCCGACTCTTTCCATGTTCATCGATTCGTGTTGGAAACAAACAATAAACAACTAAGAGTTTATTTATGTACAATGGAATGAGTAACAAAAGGGTGTGGACTTAAAACGGGTCTCCCAGCTTCCTACCTCCTCGTTCGTCTAACGGGCATCGCTTATATAGGGGGTGAGCTGGTGGCATTGATAAAGGCCTTGGATTATTGCTTCCGGTCGGAGGGTTGATTAAATATATATTGGCCTCCTTCCGGTCGCTGGTCGACCTGATATTGCCCCTATGACTCACTTACAGTTCGAATCCGATTGTTTTTTATTTTCAATTCAAAGATCTGATTGTTTTTGAGTTTCCAAAGTTCCTAAACAAGAATATTGAAAAAACGTTCCATAAATAGAAATACCTCACTTAAAAATCAGAAGCGCCGGACCTCATCACGAAAAAATCGGAATTGCTGTCCAAAAACAAACTAAAATGCAGACATTTGAAATGTTTGAAATGAACAAAAATGATTGGTTTCCAAATCTGCCAACGTGATCGAGATATGTTATCAAGAATGCACATTTCTATTCATTACGCTTAAATCCATCGAAAAAGAATGATGTCGAATTTGCAAAAGCGAAAGAGCACCAATGCTCATAAAGATATTGAGATCCCAAAGAAGCGAGTATGCTTCAGTGATTGTGTGAAAGAGGTTCACCTCGAAATTATTGAAGGTGCGCCATATTTTTCATATTTTTCATCGTTGTTTTCTCGAGTATCCCGTCTTTACAATCAAAAATTCAAAGCAATTTAACTCGAAAATTTCGATACTTATTCGACATCTTTTCATCGAGAAAACGACTTTTTAATATTATTGGGGGCCTGGGGCAAGAAAAACAGAATAATGAGAATATAATTGAATAAAATAGGAAAGGGTCAGGTTTAGAGGTCCAATCATATTCATAAATATACAATTTCGCATTTTTGGTGCGTCGCTTTTTTGGAGCGAATTTATCCGGGCTGTTTATAACGAATTGTCCAATTAGGAGCGGGTAATTAAAGGGGAGGGAAAGGAAAATAATTAATAGGATTAAACGAGCGAATTATTAACAAAGAGGGCATGGTGATATTGAAAAGTTGTTGATTCAAATATTCTGATTGACTCGGTTTGATCGGTTCATCCTTGGCCTTTAACGACTTTGGAGGCGACTTGTCGAACATGGTTTTCGAGTTTCTTCGTCTCATTTTTGGATTTTTCGTCGTTTCTCGAATTCTGTCAGTCTTCCGTGTTGTTTCCGTGTATTCTGTCCTGCGACATCGCCTTTAAAGTCGTTTAAATACATCGAAAAATCCGTTCGGATAATACATTTTGGTTTTAAGGTCCAAAGATTGGACAAAAACGCACTCGAACGACGGGCGACTTCGTTGAGGTGCAATTCAAGAAGTTGAAAGATGCCCCGGAATGTCCGCAGACACCGATCGTATTCAGCCAAGAGGAAATCGAAAGGTCTTTTGGCCCAGAGGACGCGTCGATGTATGAGCCGGAGCCAGTCGTCCCCTTGTGCTCGTCGCATTGTTCAGAAGCAACAGGGTGCTCCGAGACCTGCCCCTGTCTTCTGGACGAAGTGCAATGCGACGGCACTTGTCCGTGTCTGCCCAGCAACTGTAGTAATCACAACACCATGCGGTTGCTGGCAGAATATCGAGCGCGTCGGGACCGCAGGGAGAGGCTGGTGACGGCCAACGAAGAATGGGCGGCATTCGATGCGGCGGAAGATCGGCCACCGTTGATTATCGTGTCGGAGGAGGCAGCGGAGAAGATGGAGGTGGCGGAGGCGATGGAGGAGATGGAGGCGGAATGCAGCGTAGAACAGTCAGGACAGACGGAGTCTGTGGAAGCTCAGGAAGAGGTGGTGGTCACCAATTTAGAGACGATGCACTTTCATCCCGAATTAATGGGCGCGTTGCGAGGTCTCATCACTGATGACGACCTGCCCACGGGATACCAGACCTATTTAACATCTGGCGCTGTGACGGCCGGGCTCTTGAACCTGGTGCAGTCGCAGGGCCGCAAGGTCGGTGTGGTCCTTCCGTCGGCCACGAAAGCAGTCATCGAGCGGACGGTGGACGAGGACGGCCAGCATGTCGCCGCCATGCTAAGGGAGTGTACGGCCGGAGTCCGAAGGCAAAGCGAGGTGCTCCTCCTTCCAGTGCACCAAGATCAGCACTGGCTGCTCGCGGCCTACACAGTGGCGACCGCCAAGTGTGTCATTTATGACTCACTGGTCGGAAGCCGCTCGCGCAAGTCAAAGACCGCCATCTCGAATGGGCTGAAGCGACTTCTTGCCGCACTGTTCCCGTCGACACTCTCGAGTGTCAGATGGGTTCCTCAAAAACATCAAGAGGCCCAGACGGACGGGTTCAGTTGCGGTCTGTTCGTGATCGCCAATGCCAGGAAATTCCTAACATCAACATCTAGCAACCTGGCAAAGGCTGAGCGTATGGATTTGGCGAGGGAGCTAAGCCTTTTGCGAGTCATCGTGAAAGGGCTGAGATCGCAAATCCAATTGATTGCGGACGAAGCTTTAGCGAACCCGCCACTTCCGGAAAATGAACCGAGTGTTCCAGTAAGATCTAAAAGGAGCTCGGCGATTCGCGCAAAAACCAAGATCACGCGACTGTTCTACGAGAGATTGGTGTGAAGGCCGGACGCGAGAATTTATATAATTAAAAAAATAAATAATACAATAAAAAAAAATAATAATAATAACCAAAAAAATAAAAAAAATAAAAATCCAAAAAAAAAAAAAAAAGAAAATCCAAAAAAAAAAAAAAAAAGAAAAACCAAAAAAAAAAAAAAGAAAAACCAAAAAAAAAAGAAAAAAAAAATAAAAACCAAAAAAATAAAGAAAAAAATAAAAACCAAAAAAAAGAAAAAACCAAAAAGAAAAAAAAAAGAAAATAATTTTACTATGGCTCGTTCCTGTATTAGGACACCACCTATTTGATGGCAACCGTCGAAATCGATGAAATCATTTGTGATTGGACTTTTCTGCTTGAATCGAAGATGATCGTCTCCAAGCTAGAATGGATTTTTTGGCCAAAGCTTAGCCAAATGTGATTATTGAGAAAGGCTGGATTGGATAAATCGCGATCAATTTGTTGTAAGAGTAGATCATCCCGTCAAAGAATAGTTTTTCATTTCAGTTTTATAAAATCCGAATTAAATTCCAAATGAGCAAGTTGGAATAGTGAAGCTTCAATTTTGAAAAAAACTATCTTGATTGATTCCTGATGATTCTGATGATGTTTGATAGATGGAAGATTATTCACACTCGGAGATATACATTCAGTTGCTTTTCGAAGAACAACTTGCGATTAGATGTTATTCATTCGAACGTTTGATTTCGGAATATGTGTTTATGGCAGCTTTTTGATGGTATCGATTACTTCTTTCAAATTCTTCCATTTCTTTTTTCCAGATAAATTTAATTATTCCTTAAAGATAAAATCGATTTGAGTCGATGTAATATAAATTCGT